GAGACACATAGAGAGAGAGAGAGAGAGAGAGTGAGGGTGAGCGGGGGGGAATGCAGCTTAATTCAGATGGCTTCAAAACTGAGCAACGACTAAATTTACTCGGCTGATCATTCTGAAAAAGAATATATATAGTATTTATGGTTGGAAATGCCTCCTTCAGTAAAATTTAATCGGTTGATCATTCTGAACAAGAATATATATACTTTTTATGGTCGGATGTGCCGCCTTCACTGCATTGCAAGCTTCTGAATAAAATAAGAACACCCTGCAAGGGTATAATTAATATTTAATACAAATGGAAATGAATAAAGCCAGACTAGCCCTTATTGACATTAAATTGGATTTGATAAGAACAAATTTATGTGCATAAGACTTTCCCTTAACAAAGCCAATTCTTCCCAAGATTATTAAGATCTTTAAATATAGTCATTAAATTTGAATTTTTAATTGAAATAAACTTGTATTTTTTGTTCAGTTTCAAAACTATTGATTTAGTAGCCATGTCCATGTCCATGACCATGACCGCCCTGATTAAATCCACCTGAATGTCCACCGAATTGTCCTGGACCTTGGTGGTGCCCGTGTCCTCCATGTCCGTAACCTTCATGTCCGCCATATCCTCCATGTGGGCCTCCATATCCTCCATGTCCGACGTTTCCGCCAAATCCTCCATGACCGCCGTGTGTTTGCTGTCCAAATCCTCCATGGCCGCCATGTCCACCATGCTGTCCTCCAAATCCTCCATGTTCGCCGTATCCTCCGTGTCCGTATTGAGGCATGGCCAGAACGGCAGCCACCAAGGCAAGCAGCACAATCTTAAGGACACAATCAATTATTTTTGTTTATTAAACTACACAAAAAGATTACTCACAAGAACTTTCATGTTGTTTGATATTTTCGAAACTGAAGACAGTTCTAAACATTTGAGGTATTTATACTAAAGTTCGGAATAACAAACAACGTTAGTGTTTCGAATTCTAGACACCTATAGGTTGAACTTAAATAAGAATTAATATATATATATATATATATATATATATATAATAACTCTTTAAATGTCTTGTAAGTTCATTCCAATATTTTATAACTTAAAAAGTGTTTTGTTATTTATTTAATATTAACTTATTTATATTCTATTGCAAATAATGTATAGAACATATTCCCAAATATTACCCTGTAGAAAAACCCAAAATAACAATCTAAAAACATATTCAAAAGGTCAATGTTTAGTTGAAAAGTAAACAAACTCGTAATCATAGACGGAGGAAGAACCATTCATAAATGAGATGTTTTGTATTCTTCAAATCAATCTGTATACATATTTGCTTCATGATTTGACACTTTTTCAAATAATAAGGTCTATTAAATATTTATACTTTCTTATCTCTATTTACTACATATGAAAATTTTTCAAATATTTGTACTTTAAATCTTGTACATAGCCGGTTCGTCGCTAGGCCTAAATTTAAGTAGTACTTAAATAATAACATAGGCACATGCGTGTAATCTTGAACAATTTTGTAGTTGTACATAATTGTTTTCTAAAACGGATTTATGAAACGATGAAAGTAAAAACTTTATTTAAAAAATATTTTTGAAATAGAATGTATTTTAGTATTCGGAGCCTTTCTTTTTTATCTGTCTGGAATGTATAAAATAGCATTTATTTACTCAATTTGAAAACATTTTGTATTCTTGAAAAGTCTATAATATATCATATATATTTAAAAAGAAATTAAAGGCCCTAACAATTTAAAAAGTGGTCCTGCAATGTAAATCGCAGTTACAAAGTGCCTGAATGTTGAATAAAGGAGTGGTCCATGAATTTTGATTGATTAAATAAAGTGCACTGCAGTTGATAAGGTTCGCCAACTCATCCTTTTTATTTTCTTTTTGCCCAACAAGGGTGAGCGGTGGGTGGTGGGTTGTGTGTTGTGTTTGTGTGTGTGGGCGTTTTCGTGTGTGTATCCTGGCAAGGCGAAATGTCGCCGTTCAAATGTCAAGAACCAACCCTGTTGCCACTGTTTGTCTCGCTCTCGCATTCTCGTCTATCCTGCTCGCACAGCCGGGCATTTTTGATGCACAGTTATTACAGGATAACGCCGCTTTCTCTCTCTCTCTCTCTCGCTTGCTCCTCCCTCGGCATGGTGGGCGTGGCCATCGCAGCAAAGCGCTTTGACTTTTGCATTTGTTCACTTTTGTCCCGAAGTTTATACTTCTGCAGCTCGCTCTTCGCTCTCCCCGGGAGAGAAACAGACAGAGAAAGAGAAAGAGAGAGAGAGAGAGAGTGAGAGAATGGAGGAGATTTGGAGAAAGGTGACGGAAGCGAGGAGCAGAGAGGCTGCGGCTTGGCAGGAGCCTGACTGTTGTATTCCGACATCTCATTTGTTACAAAGTTAATGTCGGCGCATTAAGCATGCCAAAAGCCCCCACAACAAAATCGGGCAACGGAACTCAATGTTTGCTCGTCCTTATTCCCCCCACACTTCCGGTGTTTCCCCCCTATTTCCGCCCTTCTCGTCCTTCAAGCAAGAGAGCAGCATTTATCGATTATTGGATTAGTGGACCCGCCGCCATCTTTAGGCCCTTAAAGGCCTCGCATAAATGAGTTTTACCGTTGAAAAATTATTCACCAAAAATTCTTTAAGGGGAGGTAAATTAAAATACAGAACTGGGAAATTTTTTAAAATTTAAAATTGGGAACATGAAGTTTGTACACCCTCAAAGACTGATGAAATGTTTTACATTAATTAAGTTATATTAACAAAGAAAAACTTCTCCGATCTTTTAAGTATAGTATCCTTATTGGAGGAAATATGTTTTACAGAAACCTTGATGGGAAGAGGCGTCAACGGATACGTAATAAGGACTTAAAGGTTTTCCAGATAATTAATTATTATATCTTGCAGGGTATTAAAATTTCAGTCAGAAGCTTCGAACCAAGTGAAAAAATAATTTGCGACCCTATAAATCATATATATTCTTGATCAGCATCAAAAGGCGAGTCAATCCAACTATGTCCGGAAAAAATTTAATTTTTTTTAATTTTGAAAATTTTATATGGGGTTACAATGTTAAAATAGTAAAAAAAATCGAAAAAAAATTGTATCTTTTTAAATATTAAATTGACTATGCAGATTTATTAACCTGATAAAAACTAGCATAGAAAAGCTTTCCGAATAAAAATTAATGATCTTTGGCTTAGTTATGAGCTTTTTAACTTTGATCTGTCGAAAAAATTGTGGTATAAAATAGAGATAAATATTGCCTCAAAAAATGGTATTATGATTATAGTCAGAAGCTTCTTACGCTGGAAGGAGTCATTTCCGACCCTATAAATCATATATATTCTTGATCAGCGTTAAAAGCCGAGTCGATCTCTCTATGTCTGGCCAAAATCTATTTTGTTTCAAAAATTTGAAATTTTATAAGGGGTTAAAATTGTAAAAAAAAAATCGAAAAAATTGAATCTCTTTAAATGTTAAATTGAGTATGCAGATTTTTTAAACTAATTAAAACTAACACAGGACAGCTTTCCGAATTGAATGCATTTTTGGTTTAGTTATGCACTTTTTAAATTTTCATATATATCATAAGATCTTAATCCTTATTTAATGAATACTAAAACTAATGAATACTAAAAAAAAAATACTGCATTTGAGAGCAATAACTATTTTAATGCCATCTTTGTTTAATAAAAGATTTAATCAAAGGTTTATGGTTAGATTACTGTTATAACTTGCGTATACGTAATGCAGATGCATCAGTATCTATCTATATGTACACCAGCATCCTCGAGGCAAGGAGCAAATACAATTTTCTCTTCAATTCAATTACAGTTAACTGAAAGGTGGCAACTCAGAAGGAGGAGCAGGAGCAAGGCTAAAAGACGAGGCCAAGTGTGACGTGGCTTGGGCCAAGAGGGACAACAAGCGGGATGGCCAAGAGGGGGGGAAGCCAGAGTCAGAGCAGGCAGCAACATCACAAAAGGTATTATAAAACAAAAACAAAATGTCAAAACCCAAGACGATTATACGAGCGCCAGCGCAGCGCAGCTGCGTCGAGGTCGAGCTTCTCTGCCACCGCCACCTATTGCCTCTCCCACTGGCAGAACTCCTCCTCTACTCCTCTCCGCCTCTCTTCTCCTTTGCCCACCTTTGAGTCATGATGGCGGCCGAGCGTTCTCTGCTGTGTATGCGTGTGTATGTGTGCGCAGAGAGCGCAGAGCCGGGTGTTTATTGGAGATTGCGATTGTGGCTTGGCTTACCCACACACATACACACACACACACACACACACTCAAGCTCCTGCCGCAGCAGCATCAAGAAGGAACGAATCAAAGCAAGCCAACAAGCAAATGCGCCACCAGAGTTGCTGCCACTAAAAGTCTCCGCTTTCCGTTTGCAAGCAAAGGACTCAGCGGGGCTGTGCGGGTGCGGTTATCCTTCCTTCCCCCCCTCCCTTCGTCCGCTGCTCGCTGCTCGTTGCTCGATGCTCTCTGCTTTCTCCTTGCTTTCGCTCTGGTATATGTGCTTTTTGTCCTCGCACAAATACACGGACAAGAGGAGGTCCTTCCTCTGCCCACTGAGCGACCGCGGATTATATCCGGCGATATACGAGCTCGAGTATTTTTTCGCTATTCCGGGGTTGGCCCGACGGCTGGTTGGCCGACTGCTGGGAGTACTGGGAGTGCTGGACACATCACCGTGTTTAGCTGCTGTCATGCTTTTATGATAAATCTGGTGCCAGCAGCCATCGGGAATCCTGAATCGTACATCGAGACGTTAACATCATCATCGCTAAGTCGCTGGAGAGTCGCAGTGCCGTCGGTTCGGTAACGGATACGGATTACATCCAGGACACTATAGAATTATGAAGTCAAGTGCTTAAAAAAAACATGTTTTAATTAAAAATTAATGAGTGCTATCGCAAATCAAATACAAATTGAACGCTTTAAGCAAAGTGCAAATTCAAAAAGGATCGCATTGCAAAGCTCAAAAATGAATAAGGAAGAAAATTTGGCCGAAACGCGTCCATCGTCGCAAGGTATTTTAAATATTATTAAATAAGTTTTTAAATAAAGAAGTGTTTAGTTTTAGTTGAAATAATTTGAAAAAAAAAATCTTTTGAAGGATAAATCTGGTTTCCTTTTGGCATTGCTTGAAAGAATAAAATGTGCTATTTATAACGTTTGACATCTACATTTACAAGTGATTTAAAAAAAATATAGAAGTACAAACCAAAAAAGTGCATGAATAATTCCTACATTAGGGTCTGTATCACGTTTGAAGGCAAACGCTTGTAAAACATAATTAACCTTTTTTTCGCGTTTTGTGACCAACGGGTTAATTAGATTTCTTACAGAAAAAAGTATGGAAAAATAGGAAAAGCAATTAAAAGTTAAAAGTAAGACAAACCACTTATGTTAAGGTATTAACCAATGGTTAGTTGGTTGATTTGTTAATAATTTTATAAAAAATTTTAAGTGTAAGCCACTAAAAGTCTTGATTGAAAGATAATAATTTATTAAATATTTTTAAAGTAATTGAGCAATTTTTGAATAAATTTTTGTTATTTTTTTATTAACTTTGAAGGGTCGTTTTCTTTAAACTTTAAATACATTTAAGTCTTACTTCGAAGCAAGGAATTATAAAAAACTATTGCCTACTTAAGGGGATAATCGAATTCAAAACGAAACATTTGTCATTAAAATAAATTAAGCGAACCCATGATGTCATTTACAAGAAAAAATAGATAGTAATTTCTAAAAAAAATTAATAAACAAAATATTCTAAGAAAAAAAGGCAAAGAGAAGAAATTAAATCAAAGCCAAAAAGCTTTTGGATCCGATAGATTTTATGAGGTTAAGTCCTTTCAAAATTATAGTACCTGTCTTGTCACATTGTCTTTTTGTAGGAAAATGTAGCTGTTAGAATAAAATATATATTCTTATATTCATAGCTAACAATTTTTCTTTTCATATTAATAAAAATATGAACTTATTTTCTCTTACGCCTTTATTCAACACAATGTAAAGGGTAAAAGGGTTGAGATACATTAATCTATCAAGGATAACCATAATCAAAATTAACCGAAAAACTAGGACACTGAAAAGAAAAATAAAAGACCCCCGATCTAATGACACATTTCCGAATTTCAATTACCAATTTGTAGTAACGAGTTATCGGCCAGAAACTCAAATTAAATAGATGCCCGGCTTCCTGATGGCTCACGCACGAGTGGCCCAGCCAGCAAATTGAATTTGCGATAATCACCAAATTGAATTAGACTCCAGAGTCAGGCCGCCAAAAATTTCAGATATTCATAACACAGCCTGCGAGCGGCGACCCCTTAACACTTTTCCATGTCTCTTCGCCAAAGTGAATTTCAACGAGCTCACCGAAAATTAACAAAGACGCGAGCTCCGGGAAAAGGAAAATGCAAGCATATGACGCTAATCCTCTGGCATTAGACCGCAGACCCCGCCAGTTGGTACCAGGAGCAGAATCCCTCCCCATCCGTCTCCTGACTTTCGGAATCAGGTCCTGGACCCGTCGCACCCCGTCGCAAATGGTCGAGCGCACAGCCAAGTGGCGAGTGTAACAAATGTGGCCTCGTCCTTGGTCCTTCGCTGAGGGTTAAGTGCATCAAAAATCAGTAAGGAAACTACAATCAAATTAGGGTGTGATGGCAAAACAATCGTCCCCGAGGCAAATTTTGCGCACAGATTGCTCGGCACGCTCTGGTCGAGAGCCGCGTTTCTCGTTTGGCTTAATGGCACCCTAATTGAATGTGTAAATATATTTGCGGATTACAGGGCGTCAATGTCGCCACGCCAGGATAAGATCGGAGCAGGTCCCGGCATTCGCAGTCCGCAATCCGTAACAACTGACAAATTGAGATTTAATTTAAATGAACTACATAAGTGATTTTTTATTGCGCCACCTATTACTCGCACTGAGGGAAAACGGGGGGGAATGGAAAATAAGGACTTGACTTGGTTTTTGAGTTTGAGGGAAATTTAAACTTGTCTTCGATATATTAATGATTAAATTTTTAAGGTTTTTTAAATATAGATTGGGATATAAATCTTCTTAAATCAGATTGTGATTTTTCTTTTTAAAAGAAACTGCAATTAACAAATTTTTTATATACCTAAAGTACTATGTATTAAAGTTTATGAAGTATTATGGATCGATATCTTCTATTCTATAGTAACTACGAATTTTTAAATAATGCGGAATGATTTGTAGCCGTTAGAGTTTATTTTCCAATTTTTTGAAATAGTCTTATAAATTTAATTTAATATTTTAATTCAAAAACTTTAAACTTTCTTAATATTAAAATTTCTTCTTTCTTTTCCAGAGCTTCACAGTCCTCAACGCCATTGCTATACACCACCGCCGCCGCCGATGCATGGACAGCCTCAGCCGCCTCCCACATCGGTAGGCGTGGCACCACCTCCCACACAACCACCGCCTCCAATACCCTCCGGACCCCCCGGACGTCTGCTGAGCTGGAATCATAGTGCCGCTGCAGCGGCAGCGGCTGCAGCAGCAGCAGCAGCGGCCAACTCTGCGAATCATTCGTCGTCGGCGGGGGATAACTCCTCCTCGATGACGCGGATTAAGGGCCAGAATCTGGGGCTCATCTGTGTGGTTTGTGGGGATACCAGTTCGGGAAAGCACTATGGAATCCTGGCCTGCAATGGCTGCTCTGGATTCTTCAAGCGTAGTGTGCGGCGGAAGCTTATTTATCGGTGAGTAGAAACAGTGCAACAAAATCATACTATTAGTTTTTAAAATATTATTTAAAACAAGAAGGAAAGCTATACCCTTGCAGATTTAAATTCGATTAAAAGGAATGAATAATTATGAAGTTATATATATTTACATATGTTAAAAAAGTAATGCCAGCTTTCATTTAATTTAATTTGCATTTTCATCTATTTTTAACGATCATTTGTATGACAGCTATATGATATAGTAGTCCGATTTATATCAAGTTTTGCACAAAATTCTTTTCTAATATATAATGCCTATATATCAAGTTTGATGAGAATCTGTTAAAAACTGAAAAAGTTATAATTTTTTTCTTAAAATTTTCCAATCGTTCCTATGGCAGCTATATATATGTATGTATATATGTGTATATATAGTCCACCGATTCGTCATGCTCCGACTTATATACTAGTAAAATTATATAGAAGAATAACTCCATAGTTTCAGTCAAATAGCTTAAATTTGTTCCAAAACAAATCTCGCACATCTGTGCATAAAATTCCCAACTAGTTCTAACATCCCCGGAACGAAGTGACTTCTACCAGCCAGGTCCCAGATATGTGTTGTGTTACAAAAGTTGCAAGTCATTGTTTATTAGTGTTCAAAGTGAGTAACTGATCATCCTTACTTAATGGATAGATACTTACTTATCATAGTTACTTACTGGACATAGATACTTACTTGTCATAGATACTTTCTGGTCATAGATACTTACTGTTCAGAGTTACTTACTACTCATAGTTACTTGCTGCTCATAGTTAATTATTGGTCATAGTTAATTACTGGTCATAGTTCTATGAATCGTCCGATTGTTCCTATGGCAGCTATATATGTGTCTATATATAGTCCACCGATTCTCCTTGCTCCGACTTATATACTAGTAAAATTATATAGAAGAATAACTCCATAGCTTCAGTCAAATAGCTTAAATTTGTTCCAAAACAAATCTCGCACATCTGTGCATATGATTCCCAACTGGTTCTAACATCCCCGGAACGAAGTGACTTCTACCAGCCAGGTCCCAGATATGTGTTGTGTTACAAAAGTTGCAAGTCATTGTTTATTAGTGTTCAAAGTTAGTAACTGATCGTACCTACTTACTTACTTACTGGTCATTGATACTTACTTATCATAGTTGCTTAGTGGTCACAGATACTTACTTGTCATAGATACTTACTGGTCATAGATACTAACTGTTCAGAGTTACTTACTACTCATAGTTACTTTCTGCTCATAGTTAATTATTGGTCATAGTTAATTACTGATCATAATTCTATAAATCGTCCGATTGTTCCTATGTCAGCTATATATATGTATATATATAGTCCACCGATGCGGCAAGGTCCGATTTATATGCTAGTGTAATTATATAGAAGAATAACTCCATAGTGTCATTTAAATAGCTTAAATTTGTTCCAAAACAAATCTCGCACATCTGTGCATATGATTCCCAACTTGTTCTAACATCCCCGGAACGAAGTGCCTTCTGCCGGCCACGTCTCAGATATGTGTTGTGTTACAAAAGTTGCAAGTCATTGTTTATTAGTGTTCAAAGTTAGTAACTGATCATCCTCACTTAATGGATAGATACTTACTTATCATAGTTATTTACTGGACATAGATACTTGTCATAGATACTTTCTGGTCATAGATACTTACTGTTCAGAGTTACTTACTACTCATAGTTACTTGCTGCTCATAGTTAATTATTGGTCATAGTTAATTACTGGTCATAGTTCTATAAATCGTCCGATTGTTCCTATGGCAGCTATATATGTGTATATATATAGTCAACCGATTCGCCATTCTCCGACTTTTATACTTCTAAAATTATATAAAAGAATAACTCCATAGTTTCAGTCAAATAGCTTAAATTTGTTCCAAAACAAATCTCGCACATCTGTGCATATGATTCCCAACTTGTTCTAACATCCCCGGAACGAAGTGCCTTCTGCCGGCCACGTCTCAGATATGTGTTGTGTTACAAAAGTTGCAAGTCATTGTTTATTAGTGTTCAATTACTACTAATTAGTGACCATAGTTACTTACTGGGCTCAGATAATTACTGTTTTAGTTTTTAACAAATAAAATATAAATAAAAAAATATAAACATTAATTAATTCAAATACCAATCTAATTTTCTCCGTGTAGCTATTACCATTGCTCCTAAATCCGGCCATTCTCATTTTTTAGTACCATTAAATGTTGCAACATTTGCCCAAAAGTGGGTGGTGGTATCCTCAAATGGATGATGTGCCCGGAGGCCCGTCTGGCGGATTACGGAGCTCTGGCAAATTCATTACAATTATTCAAATCTTTGGGATTTGAGCGTCAACTTTTGAATGCGCATATTTGCCCTCGCATTGACTTTGTGCCCCGGATGGTGGCATCATGTGCGGATTCGTACCATTTTCTCCCCCCAATTGCAGCTTAAAATGTAATTGAATTTAAAGTGAATTCACTTAAAAGTTCTTTTGTATTTGGAAATTCCACGTGAATATTTTCACAAATCAAAGAATGAAAAAGTTTCTTTTGCTTGGATTTTCCTTTTTCAATTATCATAAAATAAGAAAGAAAGAAACACACAAATATATATCCCATAATCTCGGGCGACAAAAGAATCAATGCCAAGAGCATAAAGTTATGATACAGTAATGTATATTCAGCTCGGTAAATCACAAATGTCGAAATCTCTATATCCTTGCGGTGCGGTGTCCCCAGAGATTGATATGGAGGGCTTAAGCGGAAAACACTTGGCCAAATGTGACCCGGCAGAAGCCGAGCCCTCGCTCATCCAACATCTTCCACACAGACTAAACCAAATCACAACAAAGTCAAAAAAAAAAAGGAGGAACAGGAAAAGGGGGCGGTTTTCTGTGGCTCTAAATAAAATAGAGCATATCCTCCCTGCACAGGAATGACTACGAAGGGGCATCCATGGACTAGTGTATATTTTCACCGACGTGACTGGGTTTTTCGATGGCCGACAGAGTCAATCTGGCCTAGTCCTTTTTTTTCTTGCCTGTCTCTGGTGGTCCCATTAAGCCGTTTTCAATTATAATCAATTGCCTCCAATCAGAACTTTCGAGTTTATCTCCAGGAATTTGCCGAAGGACAATCGAATTTGTCCTGCGAAATGTTACACATTTTTAGTGTGGCTATAAAAACTAAACGAAAAATAACAGGTCGAAATTTATGGATACTATTTACTATGATTGTTATGAGATTCATTTAAAGATGGGTTTAGTTCCTACTATCTATATATATATACATGTAAAATATAGAAAAATGTTGTTTAATGCTAAACTAAAGTTTACTTTTAAACACTGTCTAAATAGTTTTCATTTCACTTTTATATAACAAAGAATATGAGAGACGTGGCTTGGTATTTGGTATTTAATTAACAAGTTTCTTAAATTCCTTTATTTTCCACAAAAACTCTTTTAAATTCAAAGTCCCAAAGTGTATCCTTTAGTAGTTTTTGAAACCTTATTCAAAGCATAGTTTCGTTATACACAAAATGTGTTCATCATCTATTTCTGGCGTGTATTAATGGCCAGGGTCCAATGGCCATATTATTTGATTATTTTTATAGACATACACACAAAAACTTGATGCTGGAAAGGAGTGGGAAATCCAATCTCTTTGATTTGTTTACGAAAACCGTACATTTGCATATACAAAATCTACTTAGTTTAGATATACATACATAGAGACGCAGGCAAAGGCAGTGTATCTGAAGGATACATTTGGTTAAGTGACTTCAGTGGAGGCGCCACGATGGACATAAAATCGAAGCGCCAGATACACAGATACATACATAGATACAGATACGTTAGGAGGAGCATTGTGGCCATCTTTGAGTTTTGGCGCAGGCTTAGTGAGCAAAAAAGAGAGGCGATGACTGGGCCAAAAGTGGTTCGGGACTCGGTGCTTCGATGGGTGGTGGCGTGGCCCTGATTTGATTAAAGTTCGACTGAAGACCAGAACAAAGGACGAAAGGTCGATGAAGCGGGATGGGAGCAACAGAGAGAGATAGAGAGCAGGTCCCTGTATCTAGCAGATACTGAAGTGTTTTTGTGGCTGAATTTCCGGTCGGTTGGCCTTAAGTCTTCTCGTGCTGCTTTGTGTTCACTGCAGGATTTGACAAATGTTGCAATTTTTGACACGACAAATCTTGTTATCCTGCGCCCAGGACTAACTTGATTATTTTGTGGCACTATTTTAATCGATTTCCTTCTATTGTCCTTACAGCTGCCAGGCGGGCACCGGACGATGCATCGTGGACAAGGCGCATCGCAATCAATGCCAGGCCTGCAGGCTCAAGAAGTGCCTTCAAATGGGAATGAACAAGGATGGTGGGTATTATATTCATATTGTAGTCATATGCATTATCATATCTCTCTCTCTCTGTCTGGGCTCGCTCTAATGAACCGAAGTGGGTTTAATTGGTCTTTAACAGGGTCTCTGGCACACGTGGCCTCCTCTCTAACCGTAACCCTTTCCCACGGCCAAAACCCCTGTTTCCGGCGGGGTTGGTTCCGGTTCCGGTGCGAGTGCGGGTGCCATTGCTCCTTATTTACATATTGCTCACCCAATTGATTTGTTACCTGCTGCTCGTGTTGTCTTTGACAGATTTTATGCAGCTTTGCCGCTGCCACTTGAGTGAATCCCAATTGTTCATTTTGACTGAAAGTTTTCTTTATTGTTTTTGATGGCCAAGACAAGGCAGTGTTTTTATTTGAATAGTTAAATATGTACAAAAAGCAGCCAGTCAGTTTCAGGTTCAAGAAAAATCAATAAGAAGTCTTTGTTTATTAAGTGAGTCATCATTGGCTTTATGATTGGGATAATAAGTAAACAGATTTTAAGAGTATCATATCTGGTAGATACTTGAACCAATTTTCTCTACACATCAAAGATTAAAAAATTCATAACTTAGCCAAAAAAGGATAAATTTAAATTCGGAAAGCACCTTTGTGTTAGTTTAAATTAGGTTTATAAATCTGCATACTCAGTTTAAAATTTAAAAAAATTAAATTTTTGGTGCAATTTTTGATCAATTTAACGATGTAACCCCTTTAAAACTTTCAAATCTTTGAAAAAACTAAATTTTTTTCCGGACATAGCTAGATTGACTCAGATTTTTATGCTGATCAAGAATATATATTTTTATAGGGTCGGAAATGAATTCTTCACAGTTTTAGAAGCTTCTAACTAAAATTCTAATCCATTTTTTGAGTCGATATTTGTCGAGATTTTTATACGACATTTTTTGCAATTAATCAAAGCTTAAAAATATCATAACTAATCCAAAAAGACGGTAATTTTAATTTGGAAAACTGTTCTATGTTAGTTTTAATTAGGTTAATAAATCTGCATATTTAATTTAACATTTAAATGGATTCAATTTTTTCAATTTTTTTTTTTTGGCAATTTTATCGAATCAACCCTTAATAAAATTTTCAAATTTTTGAAAAAAATCGATTTTATCCGGACATAGCTAGATCGACTCTGATTTTTATGCTGATCAAGAATATATATGATTTATAGGGTCGGAAATGACTCCTTCACTGCGTTGCAATCTTCTGACTGAAATTATAATACGCTGCAAGGGTATAAAAAGAAAATTTTTAAAAATTATGGAGAAAATTAGCTTATTTATTTTAGTTTTCCATAAGATATTATGAATTGATAAACTGAGAATTAAGTTTATAAAATGGAAGTTTGACTCACATTTTATACCCACAACCAAACGCTTTTCAAGTCCTAACACTTTCATAATAGAAATTTCCCCACTCTCGCACCAAACCAATTCCACATTCACACACTATCTATTTTGTCACCATTATGGCTCCTTTAATTTATACGTAAATTATGCGTGCCGTTTTTGGAAAATAGCCACAGTTCGTGGATGTGGATGTGGATGTGGATGTGGATCCGCCATTAGTGGCGGCGAAGTAGCTTCTGTGGCAACCTCATTGTGCGGTGAAATTGCATAAACAAATGGCAAAACAATTTGTAGGCGTGAGCGGCACGTGACCACAAAACCAATTTACCATCAATGGATGGGCCTCTGGTTATGCTGATGAGGAATGGCACACGCTAGATGCTCCTGATCCTGCTGCTGCTGTGGCTGTTTTACCTGCGAGCCTTGGAGCGATTTTGTCAGTGTGACATTTCCTCATTATGGACTCACGTCCTCATCGACCGGGCGCAGGAGGCGTGGCATCCTAGACTCTGAGTGCTCATGTTAGTTGCATTTGTTTTCCAATTACAGCCGTGCAAAATGAGCGACAGCCCCGGAACACGGCCACTATCCGTCCGGAGACGCTGCGGGAGATGGAACATGGACGGGCATTGCGCGAGGCCGCCGTGGCCGTTGGTGTTTTTGGGTGAGTCCTGTGTGCACTTGGGAAAAATATATCAAAAGGGGTCTTTCTAAGATGATAGTCTATAAACCCATATTGATAAAGTATTTTTCTAAATTTCCTAGAAGAAATCTAAACCGTTTTTGCTTTGTACATTTGTATAAATTCCCAAAATGAAAGACTTCTTTTTGTAATATATACTTTCAATTTCTCTCAGTGCACTTGATTGTGGGCTGTGCCTGTCATTTGCATAAGTCGCTTTGCTCTCTCTAAATCTAACCGCCCGAAATCTGTGGGTAACTTCAATTTTGCAGACCGCCCGTGCTATTGTCCCGCCCTGCTATGGCTCTGGACTCCTGCCGCCTCCCTGTGAGTAGTTGCAACTTCACATCGATGTGTATAGTTTTCCTCAACTCATGCCTAATCCTCGACAGCTTTGGGTAGCCTGCCCACAGGACGACTGCTACATCATAACCACCTCACCTCCTCCATGCAGCTGGCGGCCAATCATATGGGCGCCGGGAGTTTTCCCATGTTCAATGCCGCCGCTGCCACAGCCGCTGGGATGCACCATTCACCGAAGGAGAAGACTGCCTATGGCATGGAGCTGGTCAGCAGCGGCAATATCTCGCATTCGACCAACTCGAGCAGCAATCACTCCATCGATCCTAGCTCCCCGGCGCCGGGAGAGAATGCCAATGAGAAGAACAATGCCGGCGGCAGTGTGTCCTCAGTGAGCTCCTCTAGTCCAACTATGGAGAATGATAATGATGGTGGGTGGAATATATATATTTTGTTATAATATAGCTTCTCAATTCTATATATTTTATGTTTAATTTTCTTCTTAAACTTTCACTCTACCAGACGACTCTATAGATGTGACCAATGACGAGGAGCCGCACACGGTCAGCAGATCGGATTCCAGCTTCATTATGCCGCAGTTTATGTCACCAAATCTGTATTCCCATCAGCATGAGACAGTCTATGAGACAAGTGCCAGGCTGCTCTTCATGGCCGTCAAATGGGCCAAGAATCTGCCCAGTTTTGCGAGGCTATCCTTTAGGGATCAGGTAATGTTTATTATAATAAAACAATAGCTACAAGTTAAGCTGAAATGAATGTCTACTTTTAGGCCTATTAATAAATAAATAAATTAACTGAAAATGTCTTTCTAGGTGATCCTGTTAGAGGAGTCCTGGTCCGAGTTGTTCCTGCTAAATGCCATCCAGTGGTGCATTCCCCTGGATCCCACCGGCTGTGCCCTTTTTTCGGTGGCAGAACACTGCAACAATCTGGAGAATAATGCCAATGGAGATACTTGCATCACAAAGGAGGAGGTGAGTCCTGGCTCAGCTGATCCTTAGAATTTGTTTTATGGAAATCTTTTCCCCAGCTGGCAGCGGATGTTCGTACCCTTCATGAGATCTTTTGCAAGTACAAGGCTGTGCTGGTTGATCCTGCCGAGTTTGCTTGCCTCAAGGCTATAGTTTTGTTCCGGCCCGAGACTCGCGGCCTTAAGGATCCCTCGCAGATTGAAAATCTACAGGATCAAGCGCATGTAATTATTACAAATTAAGTAACTAAATAAAAGTAAACTCATTAAATTAATATTATAACAAACAGGTCATGTTGTCGCAGCACACGAAGACACAGTTCACAGCCCAAATAGCCAGATTCGGACGACTCCTGCTGATGTTGCCCCTCTTAAGGACCATTAGCTCTCACAAGATCGAGTCGGTATTCTTTCAGAGAACCATTGGCAATACGCCCATGGAGAAGGTGCTCTGTGACATGTATAAGAACTAGTTAACTTGTGCTTTAAGTTATATAAACAAATTTAAATAAATATGTTTTTGTGTCTTGTGAATGTTAATTGATGTGGCTTGGCTTGGATTTATTTTTCGTACTAAAACAAAGCTGTCTAAGCTGGCTTTAAAGAAATAAAATAAAGACTAAACACTTGGTCTAAAAATGGTTAACAGAAGGTTTTCAATGAAAAGTAAGGTGAAGCTCTTACAACATTACATTGACTCAATAAGTTTAGTGCCAGGTGTTTTCTTTTTTCTGTATAAAAACCCGATTTTACCTGAAAGTGAATTAGTTACAAAGAAATTCTGTCACTTGCTTGGTTGCCTCCGATTTCTGACAATGCTGTACCAGATTTTTGGCTTGTTTTTTATCCTTGGACTGGTCATTGGTTTTCATTGGGAAAACCATCTTAGTGATAGAGGTTCTATACTTTATTTACAAATAAAATGAATAAAAAATATTAATCCATTCCATAGCTCTATGCCATCAGCCAGTACATACGGGAAATTGTGAAGCCACAGTTTTCGCTTGGTACTATAATCCAAAGAAGAAATCCTGCCTTCGATTCCGATATGCTCTCTGTGGAGGAAATTCGAATCGATTCTATACAAAGGCGGAGTGCGAGAGCATTTGTCTGAAGGTTTGATATGATATGATATATGTATTTTTTTTAAAACAATTAAGCTTTCTTTTTTTATTTTCGTTTCTTCAGAATTGGTGATTCAGATCCGAAATATTAACCCTAACGAAACAAATCGGCTTTGAAGATGCATAATCTGGATGCCTAGGTTTTGGATACTACAATCCAATTAACTTTTATGGAAGGATCCTAATTACATTATATTCTTAGGTTGTAAACAATTAACGAAATATAAAAATAATTTAATAATTTAATATAATCACAACAGAATAATAAAATTGATGATTTTTAACGACAATAAATGTACTTGATTCTAAAGATATTCGTATCGCATTCGGAGAAGGTATAAGATAGATACTTTTGTTTAAATACGAAAAATTATTAAGACAAATAGAAAATTTGAAATGAATTTTTTAGAATTTAAATTATACCCTTCTTAAGGTTATATAGAAGTATTATAATTTTAGTCAGAAGCTTGTTATGCTTTGAAGGAGTCATTTCCGACCCCATAAATCATATATATTCTTGATCAGCTTTAACAGGCGAATCTTTCTAGGCATATAGGAAAAATAATACATCTTTATAAAATTTTTAAAAATTTTATAATTTTATAATTGTCAAAAATTGGCAACAATTTTTATTTTTTTTACATTTTAAAATAAGTATGCAGATTTATTCTCCTAACAAAAACTGGCATGGGACAGCTTTCCGATTTGAAATTAATGCGTTTTTGGTTACGTTATGACATTTTTAAACTTTTATTTGTTAAACAAATTTCCATATAAAAATATAAATAATATCGATTAAAAAAAATGGTATTCTAGTTTTTGTCAGAATCTTGTTATTCTGTGAAGGAGTCATTTCCGACCCCACAAATCATGTACATATGTATATTCTTGATCACCATCAACAGGCGAATCTTTCTAGGCAGATAGGAAACATAATAAATTTTTATCAAATTTCAAAAAATTGTATAAGCAGTTACATCGTTAAAATTGTTTTAAATTGATTATGCAGATTTATTAACCTAATGAAAAATAATATAGGAAAGCTTTCCAAATTTAATTAAATACTTTTTTTTGCCTTATTTATAGTGTTTTTAAAATTTGATTTGACGAAAAATTTATTAACTTATTAACTTTGGTTGCGCGAAGTTACCTTTCTTGTTTCTACTAAAACACATGTGAAGTTTTCCTCACTTGGTTTCTGATGACTGTTACTAAAAATCGGCGTATTATTCCGGTTGGTACCAAGTTGTATGCCCCTCCTTCTGTTAAAATTTGAAGTTAGCGAACACCTTTTCTCCGATTTTGATAAGAAGTCTGTATATATAGCAGACTCAATGGCTCAGTGAAATTCATTAGTTAAATTGTCATTGAAAAACTCCGAAACACTCCAAGTTAGAAAAATGCGAATTGTGGTCCTGTGCCTTGTGATCCTGTTTTCAATACTTGAAGTCGATGTATTTGCTGATCAACGTGGGTAATTCGAATATTTACGATAAACATTTAAACTCTTACATTTTCTCTTTATCTTTGCAGATAGAGTGTACTTACATTTTAAAAAACGATTTGGTATGACGTAGTTATAGGACTAGATTGCCGATAAATGTAACCATTGTTCCATTCCTTATAGAACTCTGCCGCCAACCTGCTGAACGTGGAAACTGTCCTTTTGCTTATAAAGCCTGGTACTTCAATTCAGATACAAAAAAGTGCGAAAGCTTCATGTATAGTCGATGTGGAGGAAACTGGAATCGGTTTAATAGTAAGATAATGTGTATAGAAAACTGCATGGAATTTCCCGATCTGTTTTACGATTAAATAAAATAATTAAATAATTTATGTATAAATAAATGAAAAAATTATACAAAAATAAAATGTAGATAAGGATGCGATTATAAAAATTAATTGATTGCATTTTTATTATTATACTCCTAATTCTAATTTTTGTTAGAATAAAATATATATAAATTCTTGATCAGCAGCAACAGCCAATTCGATCGAGCCATGTTCGTCCAGACGTTTCTAGTTTTCCATCTTAATGTGTCTCTCTTACTCTCTCTATCTCTTTCATTGCATCTCTCTGCATATCTCTCTAGAGACATTTAAATTTCACTGCCTCTCTCTCTTTGTCTCTCGCTCTTACTGTCTCTATAAATACGAGGACTGTTGCCGCACTGACCTCATTCTGTCCGCGGCCTCCCCAGTGTTTACATCTGTAGCTGATAGTGGAATTGATAGTGATTGCCCTTCGACCCCAAATATATCATATGACCAATGCAACACATTTGGATAAGAAGAGGCACACTTAAATGATACTATGTAAAGCCTAATTGATGTTACCAAGAATATGATTCTACACTGGAAAAATAGCAGTGTTTCCTCTACTGCGTTAGCTCTTGACAATTATATCATGTATATAGTAAAATAGGAGGGATCAGGCTAAGGTCTAACATCAGCTGTGCCAGCTATATATTTATTTTTCTCTTATTGCCATTCACGAATATTTAGATTTTACTGACCCTGACTGACATTATATCCTGGCAGGGTATTATAATTTCATTCAGATGCTTCAAATGCTGTGAAGAAATAATTTCCGACCCTAGAAATTATATACATTCTTGGTCAGTATCAACAGCTGATTCGATCTAGCCATGTCCGAAAGAAAAAAAAAATGTGTATATAGTTTTTCAAATTAAAAAATTTGATAAGGGGTTACATCGTTAAAATTGTCAAAATTTTACAAAAATTAAATTGTTTTTAAGATTTAAAGCTCAGTATGCAGATTTGTGAAACATATAAAAACTATCACAAAATAGCTTTTTGAATTAATCTATTTTGGCTTAGTTCTGATATCTGAAAAACTTTAATTTCCCAAAAATTAGCATTTGAAAATATCGATTTAATGTAACTAAAATATAGGAAAGCCATAAAGATATTGATCGCCAAAATTCCAATATATGTATGAATTTTTGCAATCAAAATATTAATCAATAATGCTTAGCTGACATTATTTTTTTTTACTAAGTTTCTTAAACTTTTAAGCTTTCTTACCTGTTTATTAATAAAATATGAATTTATCTAATTTATAAAGTTCATGACTTTCAATTTAGCCCATTAATAGTCCTATATTTATATATATTTTACATTTCAGTTAGATATCAGTATCTCAAATTATTTTCACTAAAACACATGTTAAGTGCTCGCTTGTATTCCGGTGGCTGTCACTAAAAATTTGTGAACTATTCCGCTTGGTACCGAGTTATTCGTCAGAAAGTGCCACCTGCTGTTAAACTTTAAGTCAGCGCGCAGCTTTCCACCGATTTTGATAAGAAGTCTGCATATAAGCAGACCTGAGGGCCTTGATGAATTCAGTTCAATCCGTTCAGCCTTCCAGTTCAGAAATGGCGCGACTTGTGGCCCTGTCCTTTGTGATCCTGTTCTTTATCCTTGAAGTTGTCGTCGCCTTTGATTATTCGTCTGGCCTCAAAGAGGGTGCGTAATACTCGTAATTTACCATAATCATTAAGGCCAATCATAATCTTTCTTAATCTCCACAGATATGGAATATGCAAACTTCAAAAGACGATATGGTAAGACATATATATTGTTTATTTGATTTCCAATAAATGTAAACCAATTATCCATCTCTCACAGATATCTGTCATCTACCTGTTCAGCCTGGGAAATGTCGTCACGGTGTTAAATCATGGTACTATAATCATGCCAGAAAGAGTTGCGAGAAGTTTATCTATACTCTTTGTGACGGAAACGCGAATCGGTTTTATACAAAGAACGAGTGCCTTGAGTTCTGCAATGGCTATAAATATATATTTAAATTAAGGCTTTTTAGTTAAAGTGAATATAAGTTAAATGTGAATAATAACTATATAAATAAAATGAATTTAAAAATCTATATATTATTAAATAAATATTACAACATTGTATTCAACTGTAGAATGATTAAACTCAAATTATAATCACAACTTTTGATTTTCCTAGCAGGTCTGATGTTGACATGAAACAATTTTGAAAAATTCTCACATCTGGCAACCTTAGCCAGGACTTTTCTTGTTTCCTTTTTCTCCCGTTAGTTCATGTACATTACAAGTAAAATGTAAAAAAAAGATATTTTGAGTAAAAGATTTGGCTCTGAAAGCCACCGCTAGATGACGTCACAACAGCTTTTAAATAAGAAAATTTACAATTAAAAAATAATTAATTGTAATGGAATTAACTCAAATCTATTAAATGATTTTTTGTTTAATATTTTGTAATGTAATGTAAATGGTAATGTAAATGATTAATAATAATTATATCTCAGATATCATCACCACTTTCAGGCAACACGGCTGTTGCTTGCTATTTGTAATGACCGACAGATATTTTTGGGACAGTTTATACATATGTATTTCTATTATAATATGAGTAATTTAATTTTAATATTAACTATTCCAAATATCTTATTTAACTTGAATGATAAAATTAGAATCAATAAATCTTATCTTATCAAAAGCTCTAGCGCCGCAGGATTCAAACCTCCTTCAACCCTGAATTGGGCTCCACTTCAGCCCCAACTGGTCACACTGGCCGGCGGGAGGAATCTGTGGGAGCAGGCTCACTTTTTGAGCCAAACGACCGACTGACTGTGAGTGATGCCAAAGGAATGCTGCGCTCCCCGAAAGGCAAAGACACAACTCGCACCGTCCGTCGGGTGGCAAACGGCAAAAAAAAAAGTGCAGTAGCCGTCGCAGTCTCGCGAATGTGAAATGAAATGTGCAATTAAAACGCGAATAATGGCAGAGTTCAAGTGAAATATTGAGGAATTCCAACGGGAAAAAGGAAGAAAAAATAAATCACAGCCGAAGGCAAAAAATCTCCTGGCGTAGAGGTGTGCGTGAGTGCGTGCGTACGCGCTGGTGTGGGTGCGTGCACAACAAAATATAAATAAACGACGGCGGCAGCCAGCACAGGCAGGCAGCAGCATCCTCAACGTCAATGTCACTGAGAGGAGTTGATAAAAAGCAATGCTAAAGGCCTTTAATTGCCGCTGCAGTCAATAAATCATCAAACGAAAATATGAAAGCATCTCTGGAATCCAGTGTGTAAAATTAGAAGCAACAACAACAAGAGACAGGCGGAGGCAGGAAAGACACAAAATAGCCAAAGCAAAGAGCCAATATATGTACATACATCCACGTCGTAAAGTGCGTCCGATTGGGAGAGTGCTCTCTCTCTCGCGCGCCCTATCACTCTCTCTCCCAGTGCCCCCACTGCTCCCCCCACTTCCTGCACACATATGCTGCGAACAGCAGCAACAATAACAACATTAACTCCTGGGGATGCTGTAAGAGCGGGATGGAGCGAGCGAGAGTAGCGCCACGCGCTCTTCGGCTTGGCTTTGACTTTGGCGCTCACTGTTGCTCTCTGAGTCAAAGAGCGCTTTTACACTGAGAACAAAAAGCATTTTGCATTAACAGTATTATTTAAAAGAAGAAAGAATATTCTAAAGTTTATTTTCCTTTACTATATTTTCAGAAACAATGATCTTAAATTTTCTTTAATATGGAAATAACAAAAAACGAATAAAATTAGTGTCACAGCAGGGTAGAAAACATATTTCCGAAATTCCCAAACTCCACTACTTAGGGTGACTTTTTTTTCTCAGAGTGCAGAGGGCATTGCGTCGCTGCCTTCGCTCTCAAGCACCACGAATTCCCAAGTCTTCATTTCATTTCCAATCGTCGAGGCATTCGGACGTACGCCGGCTCGTGTTGTTGTTGTTTTCGTATTTCGTATTTCGTTTTTCGTGTTACCAAACGCGCGTATTGAAATTCGAACGGTTGAGATCGTGAGATCGGTGGTTTATACTTATATACTCATCTTTGTATATGCGGGATTGAGATACTTAACCGTGTGCTTGCGTGATGATACCAGCAGGATATCCTTCGGTCTTCGAGTGAAAATAATGAGTGTAAATGGAGACAAGTAAACTAAGAGCGATAAGGTTACAGATGTCCTAAGCACACACATACACAAGGACACAAGCAGAGACACACGGCCAACGCAGGGATATTGCGGCAGGGGCTGGGCATGTAACTGGATCCTGGATACATGTTGGCTCCTAAGACAACAGCTCGGCAAAGGCAGGAGCGGGAGCAGACGAGGGAGCAGGAGCAGGACGCCGTGTAAGTAGCGATGCTTAACTATAATAAGAAACCCGGCGTGGACAGGCAGGCAGGCAGGCAGGAAGGCGCAGGATAAAAAGCCACACAAAAGGGGGACACTGCTGCAGTGGAGTCGCTTCCTGCGCCACTAAGTATGCCACTGCAATGCTATTTTAAGGTGCAAAGTGCATTGAGCAGAGGAGGTGAAGTGCTGCCCGTCAGCAAGTAGCCCGTAACCCACACACTTACACACACACACGGGGCATGCACCGGACCGGCGACAACACACAAAACGTATTCAAGTGTAACTAAAGACGACCAATTCACAAACAAACAAACAAGCGAGTGAGGCAGCCAGCCAGGAGCGGAACAGAGTGCGGGGGAGGTGGTGGTAGGGGTGGAGGTGGAGGTGTAGTGCTGGGAACCTCATGGAGCGGAGCGGACGACCCTCGAACCATGTGACCAAAACGGGAACCATGAACCGGGGGAGGTGCAGTGCCAACCGAAGGGCCGCTCGCTAATGTTTATTATGAAAAGCGTGCCCTTTTGAACGCCATCATGTATTTTTATTTTTATTTGTATTTTATGATTGCGCTTAGCCATGTGTATTTGCTGAGAGCGACACTCAGTGTGTGTGTGTGTGTGTGTGTGTGTGTGTGTGTGTGTGTGTGTGGAATGCACAGCGAAAAAAGCAATCAACCTTGTACTAATTTGAGTCAATTTAAATGGAATTGATAAGGTAATCAAATTAGAAAGTTATGCAAGTATAAGTTGGACTACTGAGAACTTCACATTAAGAATTTTATTGGTTTAGGAATGTTGAAAGAAATCTTAGGTAAAGTAGATATTAATTTAGGTTGTCAATTTGAAATTATAAAGACCTCATATAAATATCTTGGTTCCTCACATTTTTATAACGCAATTTTATTAAGACAAATTCCTTGAAATATTTTAAAGACACACAAACTTGGTTTTCCTATTAAAGAAGTTTTTACAAAAATTAATTAAATTTCAATAAATTTTTCGAAATTAAGTGCATGAAAACATTCGAATATTCCATACAGATAGGGCACAATCCTGAAGTAATTAGCATTAAACAAAGCCACATATACATATATAGATGATGTGAGAACATAAAACTGAATGTTAATATTTTTAAAATAACATTAAAAAACAAGGGTATTTAAATCCTTAAAACAAGAAAACCGATAAGAATCTACTCTGCTTAGTAGTTCATCTAAAAAATTATGACGTGAGAACATAAATCCTTCACATAAAACCAAGTTAGTTTTCGAAAGCTACAAAATATCCCACAGATAAGACTCAAATGTTGTTTCCCAAATCATAAATGAATTTCAAATGTTTATTCAATATTTTTCTCAGTACTTTGTAATTTTGTTTTTGTTGTTTTTCCCTGTCGCGAGGCCCTCATGAGAGAGTGCAGCACTCAATTCATTGATAAAAGATGCAGCAGCCGCTACAATTATAATATAGCAACAAGAACTCCGGCCGGCGATCGACATGCCGCAATTACATTTATAATTTGGGCCTGCAACCGTTATTCAAATGTAAATTCAAATGTGGATTGCAATTACCAACCCTCCCTGGGCCGTTGCTGGGTCTCGGTGAGTGGGTAGCAAACAATCGCCAATTGGCATATAATGATCCCCTTTGGACGTGGAAACGTCCTAACTGAACTGAGTGACAGACAGACGAAATGGAAATGGTATATCGCGTATATATAGGGTTTTTTATTTAGATTATGGGTATGGGATTCCATTCTGACAACCAGCAGCGACATTCGGAACAATTCTCAGGCCTTGACAAATGCACGTAATGATTGGACTCACACTTTGGTTTCTGCCTTTTTAACAATTTACGCGCGCAACTCTTACCCCTTCTTCAGGAGAGTTCTCACACTCGGCCTAGTCCATAATTTTAGGGGTTGTGCAACCCGAAAAAGTACGCGTATGGGTTTCAGATACATTTACAGCTGTTGCCTTCGATGGGCAAACAAGGGCCAATGGGCTTGGAGGTCGAATTTTTGTCGGAATTCGGGGACCTGGGAACGTTGCAGGGAACATCTTTGACTCCTGCGGTGATTAATTGTCATCCGAGCGTTCGAACAACATATGTGAGCGGAGACCGGGACATGGGTACCTACTCCTATAGGGTCGGCATGGTCTTAGCTGTGGATTAGATGTCGGTGAAGGTGAAAGAATAGGCTCGTTTCTTTTACCTATTGTTCCGAAAGGCAGCTACCTAGCTGATAGTAAGGAAACCGTCGTAAATCGTTGGATTGAAACTCACTGATCGGAGGCCGATCCCTTCGATGATTATGGTGAGAATCAAGAGGGAATTAACATGGCTACCTAGCATGTTTTTCGGGGGTTAGAACTTTCTACGGCTATTACAGTATCGTTTCCATCTCCAAATTGCGTAGGCAACTGCTATTTCTGGCTATCATCAGCCGGCATCATGTGGCCAGTTGCCAGTTTTGGCAACACACATAAATTAGGTTACTAGCATCATTTGTTAGAAGCGGACACACATTAGAACTTTGCTAATACGATACACAAATGATAAGGGCCTTCCATCATCAGTTGTTCAGTTGTTGCTGATGGAATCATAAATAATTTGTTTATTGCATGCAGGCTCTGGCGGCCTTTCCCCTATCTAGTATCTCTACAGAGTGTATCTTGTAGTAACATGCCCCATAATAACTCAAGCTGGAAACTATTGTTTCTACTTCTAATTCCTCGACAATTACGCTTAATTAATTTAAAGATGTTTGTTGTGTCGTTGTGTCTCCCGTAGAGTTTGCTGTACATCGTTCAATTTTGAGCAGTTATGACGGCGGCATGGCATTTCGTTGGGGGGTGGATTTTATAAATAGATTAATTAAAATCATCTTTAATTGTTTGATTACAAGGCAAAGAAGCGTGGATCTGACAATAGGCTGCCTCTATGTACGGTCTCAAGTTGCGGAGTGTGTGGGCAAAATGCGCAACATGTGAAATACAGATGCCGAGAGTAACCAGCACGGTCCCTTGGGCATTAAAGATTTCATTTGTGCTACAGATGTTCCGGCGATTGTACAACATAACGCAGTACGAGGAGGAGTAGCCAAGCTCCGAGGAGAGTCGAGTCACACGCAATTGAGGCAGCGGCATCCACATCCATGGATCCACTTCAGGGCAGTCACCAAGCAACTGGCGCAGCATTTCGAGTGGCATTTGATTTTAGTGCTCAAGAGTGTGTGTGCGTGAGTGTGTGCTCCAGAAGTATAAAAATTATTGCTGCCGGGCTGCCAAGGCAACTGAGTCAGTCAGTCATCAATTATTTTATAGAATGCTCACTTGTTTTGCTGTGTGTGTGCCCTGGCATTGTTCCCCCTCATCCCAATAGCAGTGCTCCATCCCCATTCCCATTCCCATTCCCATTCCCATTCCCATTCCCATTCTCATCCCTCTGACTGCCAGCCGAATCTGTGTTCTTGGAGTTCACTTGGAAGTTTTCTTCCACAGGAAGGGCTTCTCCGCCTTTGCACTTCGCGGAGACCCGGCAATAGTTGTGAAATTAAATTGAATACGACGCCGATTATCCCACGCAGTCTTTCATTCGCATATCCATTCATTCATGCTGCTGCTGCCTAGGAAGCAAGTGTCGTCGTCTCCGGCGACATCCTCATCCATGGATGGAGGATGGAATCCGAGAGCTTGGGAAATCATCAAAGTTCAGCGGGACTTTGGTGGCGTCTCTTCCTCACAATATAAGATGATTACATGCACACGCAACTTGGCATATCTGCCCATAAATCTTTCGGCTCTACACGCAGCGAAAAAAGTCCTTCAGAATCAAATATCCAAGGAATATTTCTTGTTACGGCTGATATTTTATATTTCCTAGATAAATATTTCATACTAATATTATCTCTTTATTAATATATTTTCCTTGAATTTATGGTCTTCCAAACTGTTTAATTACCTCCAAGACTTTGTCCAAGAATATCATAACATTTCTTGTAAATTCAAACTAAAGATATACTATCGATCTTTCCCACTCTATATTTCTTTATCTCCAATCCAAACTCTCTCCTTTTTTCTCCAAGTGTCTGTGCGTGTGTGTCCTCCTTCAGCTTGTCAGTCAGTCATTCAGAGGATGTGGTAGGGGTTTCCCCCGGATGCTTGCGTGCCAAAATCAATGCAAGGTTTTTTATTTGGCGGCGACAAGTTCTTTTTTGCATTGAATAATAATATATAAAACCCATTCCGATTATAAAGCGCACCCGCAGACAATGAAATGCCGCTGATAAGCGTCCCGCACAATCCATTTGGCCTACTTTACTTCATTAAAAACCTATTAAAAAGTAATGTACAATATACATTGATAGAGATAAGACAGCAGACTCCCGAACGGATTCAATCGGGGGTATTTTATGTGCCCGACTTTGATTAATCTCCCTTCCGTTTTCTGTACATATGCATATATATTTATAAAGAGAGCAGATTTGCCTGCAATTCAGCATTATTTCACTTCCAAGAAGCTGCAGTAATAAATAAGCTTCGCTTTTGTTTATATGAGCCGAAAATCAGTATTCGATTTTCGCTGATGGCCATATCGATTTGCGGCCTTAGCCGAAATGTAATTTGGCTAAGCAGCCCCGCAAACAACCAGCTCTTTCTCGCTCGTCAAACAATGGTCTAGACTCTAGACAAATCGAAAACAAAACGAGCTGAGCTTCAATATCCCATCTATAATTGAATGTACACACACACTATACACAAGAGTGTGTGGGGAATCGGAAGAAGACTATTATAATCTGGTCAGTTACATGAGCCCAGCACGCCCAGGGAACACACATGTCCACAGAATATATTGACAGACACTCAAGTGTCCACAAGCACCCTGTAAATCCAATTGAATTACGCATAAAGGCGCTTAAAACGAAAGAAACGACGAGTCTCTCTCCCAATGGCGATAATGATGAAGTCGATTAAACGACCCATCAAATGTATTATTTCCCCCTTAACTTCTGATTACCCGATATTTTATTACGATTCGTGATTCGAAGGAGGTACCTACTCCTCCCTCGTGGAAGCACGGGCCTCAATCATAATCACTTTTCACATATCAGCATTTCCGCAAGATTTACATATCGACTTTTACTTGATGCGCCTCTTAATGGCGTCCACGTCGGCGCGGCTATAAAATCCATTTGAGCCCAGAGACTTGGTCTTTTGAGTTTTAACTTATGCATGATTAATACATAATTACGAAGACAAACACATAAACTCCAACTCAAGCTCAAAGTAAGGACGGGGGCCGGACTTATCGCGGTTGGGCGTTCGTGCCGGCATGTGGCCCCCTCTCTATCCCTGTTCCATCAAACTTAATAACTCCGCAAGACAAAAGGCGCTTTTCCCAGCATAAGACCCCTATATCTAGGTGGAGAACCCCACGTCCTGGGTACTGGACTACCAGAGAACTGCAGTGTGGCGGAGCATACTTATACCTGTTATTAATATTTCGATTAGGTACCAACGATTCGTAGAACCTGACGCATGACTTGCATGGCTAATGGGAAATTTTGTAACTTGTGACCAGGCGGCTGTGCGGTGTGCCCTACACTCGAGAAATTTACTTGGGCCGGGTCTCTTGGTCCCTTGATTGATGGAGACAACTCATCGATTGTGCTGAGAGTGCAGGAAGTGTCCCTAACTATGGACAATACATTTCCATTACCCAAGACCAATTTTATATTGATCCTTGCTGCAGATAGGAGTCTGAGTGGCCTGAAAATAGTGCCTACCCGAAGGGCAGGAAATGAAATCTAAACTCAAAGGAATACAATTGTTGACAGAGAAGAAAAGTCGGTTGAGTAAGATGTAAGAGTTTTCGGGGTTCCTTTTATGATGTAAGATTAAGGCAGGTGCATTTTGAAGGGGAAATGATATGCCATGTCGTAGAGAATAAGCTTAAGATGCTTAAGAAATTTGATGAGTAATAACTTGTGTTCTAGATAATCCCCTGTGATTTATCTAATCAATTAATACTTATTTCAAGACTGTCTTTAACAATGAAACACTCTATTCTCATTTTAAAGAAACCCCCTAAAATTAACTCAGTTTCCCCCTGAAACGTGAGAGTTTTCCACCAAAAAAACACCTGCATTTCTTAGCAGGTAGAGTACAAACTCGGCGTCTTAAGTCGATAAACATATGTGCCAGACCTTAAGGCTATTAATGCTATGAGTGTGCGTCAGAGATATGAACACTTTAGTCAAACCATGGACACTTTTCGTGGCTTGACAGGCCGCTTTGTGGGTTCTCGTTTTATTGCCAAGTCCGCAAATTGCCAGGCCAAAGACGTAGAAAGGTAGCTACTATACTCACTATACTCACAACTATACAGCTAACTCGAGTTTCTTATCTGACTTTCCAGATCGTATTCACCACGTCAACAAAGCGAGTGTGCAGCTAATGCTAATGCCTGCAGTTAGCTCGCCATCGCCACAACGCCACGTCACATTGCAGGTGCAGCAGTTGCACAGGAAACGCAGGAGCAGGAGCAGGAGCAGGAGCAAGAGACACCTCATCCTCCTTCTCCACACTGGGAACCCCCTCAAGGCGCAGCATGGCGGTGATTAATAGAGCCGGAAGTGTGATTATCCTTCTATTTGGCCTCCAGGTCATCTGCTTATCTCTTATGGTCACCGGAGAGCTGCCGCAGCTGGACTATGGCAGCATGTCCGCCTCCCTGGAGGAGGATGCAATTGACCCACTCACAGCACTAGCTCCCTTTGCCAATTCCCTGGTCACCGAGGAGTCGGCACCGCAAAAGCATCACTTGGAGCTGCTGAGTAATAGCAGTGAAGAGGAGAATCCGGCACGACCTCCGGTGGGTGCACAATCCTCCTCCTCCTCATCATCATCTTCTTCTTCGGCGACGGGAGCGGCATCGGGCACACTGCTTGAGGAGTTCAATAGCGGCAAACTGAGTCCTGGAGAGGCCAGCAATACCCTGCCCATCTTCCTCAGTGAGCCGGAGAGTGTTTTTGTGGTCAAGAACCGACCGGCCATCCTCAAGTGCAAGGCTTCGCATTCCCTGCAGGTGATCTTCAAGTGCAGCGGCAGCTCACAGCCCCCACCGTCGACGCACGAGACTCATGTGGATCCTCATACCGGAGTCAACATGGAGGAGGTCACCGCCACCATACACCGGGACCTGGTGGACGAGTTCTTTGGGGATGGACCCTTCAAGTGCGAGTGCCACGCCTGGTCGTCGCGTGGCGTGGTCAAGAGTCAGGCGGCCACCGTGCACATAGCCTGTGAGTACACTGACACGAAAAATGGTGCCTTTAATTTCCCAAAATATGTTATTTAAATATTCAATCTAAATAGTTATAAATTCACTTTGACTTCAAGCATTTTTAATTGAAAAATCAGGCAACTGCAATAAGGAATAATTAATTGAATTGCCTTTAAAAGCCTTGCCTTGCTAATAACACATTTTAAATATTAAATTAAAAAGTCTATTGATTTCATTTTTGCCTTTTAAATTCATAAATTTGATTGAGTTTGTTTCAATCAGAAATGTTTTTATTAATGGCCAACAACACACAATTAAATAGTTAAATTAAGGTCAGGCGATCAAATAAATTTAAGCAAGGCAAGACCAGGGCAGTCTTTAATAACTTTTAATGGAAAGGAAAACATTTTTAATTTAATTTTTCTTTATTCAACATAGAGAGTCATGGTTATTCCAAGGAATTTGCTTGCAGTTTATTAACTTATTTAGTTGGTTTTTTCTTGTCTTTAATTAGTTTACTGATTCAAAAGTCTTGCCATTTGTTTTACATTCAATGAATTGTTTTACAACAAATTTAAATTAAGAAGATTTGTACATTTTTAATATTCATTTTATACAAGTACAATTACTATTAAATACATTTAAAGTGTACTTATCGTGCACTTAACACATGTAATACACCTTAGTCCTGGGGGTGGCTTCCTGTCAACAGGAGCGACCCTCGCTTAGCCTTACCCCTATTATCGGTATCTGGAATCTACAGCGGTATCCGCATCTGTCCTTTCTTTTTTTCACCACCATCGCCACTATAGATATTCGCAAGTCCTTCAACCAGTCGCCAACCTCACTGCGCCTGGAGCTGGGCAGCCGGGCGGAACTGCGCTGCGAGCCACCCGGCGGCTTCCCCGAACCGAAGCTCACCTGGCACAAGAACAACGCGGTCATCACCGCGGAAAGTGAGCCCGGGATCAGCGTTACGGGCGGCATACTCACCTTCCGCCAGGTGGCACTGCAGCACATGGCCAACTACAGCTGCAGTGCGGAGAATATAGCCGGCAGACGCATCTCCGATTCCGCGGTGCTCATCGTTTATGGTCAGTATATATATACGAATATACATAGCTGACAGCTATAGCTGTGAAAAACTGAATTTAAAACCAGCATATTTGTACTCGGTATTTGGTAGGGGAAGAAGGGTTTATACGTACTATGCATCCTTTGTACTTAAATATATATTTCTTAGGGGGTTTTGGGAAATTTTAGCTCAATTATCTATGCCTAATTATATCCTAATGAAACAATAACTATTATTTAAAACTTTGACTAGTTGGATTTGCTTTAAGTTCCTGCCACGCACCTTCTTATACTAAGTGATTTTGGTTCCCCAGAAAATACAGCAAATTTTGTATGAAAAGAAAACCCGATTAAAGGCAATATCTACATATATAATAACAGATATTCTGATTGATTTAAAATTAAAGAAAATCCCTCTTAAAGTTTAAAACTCTTCAAGTATTCAGCAAAAAGAACGCTGAAAGAAATTCCCTAAACGCAGCCCTTAAAAGTATGCAATAAAATTTTATAGACAGATCCTGTAACATTTTATAGCACACTTTCGACACCCATTTCAATTGAAACAAAGATTCCTTCGAGTACCGAGTAACCCCAAGTCGTGTCTTTATAATTTTTTCAATGCTCTTTAATTGTTCAATTTTTGATTCCCATTCCCCGCAGTGAACGGCGGCTGGAGCACCTGGAGTCCATGGCGCGAGTGCAAGTGCGCGGGCAAGCCGAGCCAGGGACGGAAGCGGTCGCGTACCTGCAACAATCCGATGCCGCTTAATGGGGGCGCCCAGTGTCCGGGCCCCCAGATCCAGAAGTCCGCCGACTGCGCCGCCTGTCCAGGTATGTAGCTACGTTGCGGTCATCCGCAAAATTGTGGGTGGCTGCGAAATGCGGCCAAACACGCCCACAATGTGCGGGCTCGGGTTCGAGTTGAGAGAATGCCTCATTCCGGATTCTGGATTCCGGATTCCGGAAATGGGGAATGGATGCTTTAAGGCGGTTGTAAAGCAGCAGCAAAATTGTCAATTTAAATGGCATTTGCGGCCAGGACGCCACCTGCACATGGCCCAGCAAGTCCTCTCGCGTCCCGCTGACTCTGTCGATACATCTCCTGGAGCGTCGTCGAACAACGCGTTCTTTTTCACACCATGGCATCGAGAGGAGATGGAAATGGAAATGGGAAAGGGAATGGTTATGGGAGGCATTGCGTGGTAAGGACAGTCCAAAAACACAAAGCACTGCACATCGCAAAAGTTCAGGGGGGAGTTACTATAAAAGAAAAGAGAGAATAAAAACCCAAGCCCAGAGATAAGCTTTTTAGGGTCAGTACGAAGTGGGAATACACTTGGGATTCTCCTGTGATTATCATAATCCAAATGGGGCCAGGACTTTACATGCATAAATGATCTAAATTATATGAGGATTATGCCATAGAATACTAATGTTGTTAGGCTGAATACATCAATATATAATTATAATCAATAAAGAGGCTTTAAGCTAGTTCAATTATTGAGTGTATTAAAGTTTCAAGAATTATTTAAAGAGTTTAGAGTTTATAAATCATCACATTTGATTTTCCTATATGAAATACTTTGTAAGTCTTTAATACATGAACCTCTTTATTATTTGTATTTATACACTTTATACACAATTTATGGAATGATTTCACACTGATTTTAAGCAACATATCCATGTTTTGTTATTAATTTTTTCCATATTTTTGTTTTGTTTTGAAATCCAAAAGAAATATCACAAGAATTTCTTTCCATAAGCTTCTAATCCAGCAAAGCCCAATATTATGTAGAACTAAGCTCCTCGGCTCAGTGTTATTATTATTTACGAGTGGAAAAACATCAAGTAGAGAAATATATGTACTATATATATATGGAGATGGCAGCAGCCCCTCGATATAGTCACCATGCCCGGCGCGAACAATGGCATAATACATTTTTGAGTGAGTGCCGAGTATTTCATTTTAAACACGCATTCGGCTGCCGTTGGTGCCTTGGACCGACGACAGATATCTCCACATGCATATATAGAGATGGATGGATAGATTGGGTCCCGGCAGGAGAAGAGAGCCGGAGGTAGCTCCCTCCACCGACTAAATGGTGACAAAGGCATAGTCAAGGGGGAAAGGGAATACTGCCGAGATGGGCTCCGAGGATTGAGGATAAAATCGGTGGTGGCTATGGGGCGCTCTCTTCTTTTTGACAGACGCACGGGCGGCATGTGTTTGAGACTCTTCACTTTTATTCATGTAAATTTATTGTATTGCATTGTATTGTAGTGGGATCCCTAGGATACTTGGCCATAGCCGAGGCCGAAGCCCGTCAAGTCGCAGCACAGCGGGCGCAGGCAATGAGCAATTGTTGACAGACGAGCGGGGCAAATTGTGAGTGGGATGAGTGCCATGGGGTGCCGGGAGAGAGTACTCCGGATGAATAGGGGGATGGGAGGGGGAAAACTCACCCACTCTTCCCGGTCCGGGGCCGTATTTCTTTTCTATGAAAAGTGTGTCATAAAATTAATTTTAAATTTCGCTTGGCTTTCGTTTTTTTTCCTCCTGCTGCTCATCGTCGACTCTTCATCCCCATGGAACCGTGTCAACCTTATGGTCCTGCCGCCACGCCCATCAACGCCCGTGATTACGCTGTCGCCTGCCAACAACAGAGGACACTCAAATCGTCAGTCCTGATGGATTTGACATTTCGTCGAGTAAGCGCAGTAAGTTGAACCGAAAGCCCTGACAATGTGCATTTCCCTCAAAGGGAAAGGCTTTCCCCGGCCAGATCCTGCCTCCTATTTTTGGGTGAATAATGGGGACAAAGGATGGATACCCACTACCCCTACTTTCCGTTCTGTTTGAGCTGTTAAACTTGAATGCTTAACGAGCCGACGACAGTTAAATTTTTTAGTTGGGGTTACAACACATCCACATCCACTAGGGGGGGAAGGGGCCTTTACAATCCAATAAACAATCGTGTTAAACCGAACCGGCGGCGGCATCAGCATCCAACCAAGCGTGGCGTCATTCGTTTCGGGTTCTTCAGAGGGTTTCCCCAGAAAGAAAAAAACTATATATGTATAAACTTTAACTGACTTTAACTGGAGTGACTTACTTTACTTGGGGGTGACGTCATTGCGACAGCAACTTAAAAATCACTTACCACGACTTACGCTCTCCCTGATTCATGCAACAGTCGTCGTCTGGCGGGGTCGAAAAGGATACGCCATCCTTGGGGATGGCCATTGACAGGATGGGCACACGGACATGGTCATGGGGATGAGGATGAGGATGCGTCGAAGGTTATGGGGGGGAAAGAACTAAATGCCTGGCAATGTGATGATGGCTGGCGACAAGTCCGGAATTCTGTGCGCCCATTTTTTTTGTTGTTGGGGGTGGTTTTATGTTTCCAAAACAGGAAGTGCCAAATGCCGATGTATTTATACCAGTATGTGTGCTCACTGAGGGAAAAACTATACCGATAATGGGAGAGAAAAGTGGAAATTGAGTCTTTAGGATAAAAAGTTATTAATTGATTTATTTTATTTATCATTTTACAAATGTATTTAGTTTTTGAAGTTCCTTTTCAAAGAGTTTCTAAATCAAATTAATGTTATATTAACAGAAAAACGGAATAGAGATGTTTCATGTTGTAAATACTGATATTATTTTATAAATAACTTGTTGACAATTTAAAAAAATATTTAAAATTAGTTAATTTGTATTATTTCATTAATTTTCAGTACAAATATTTCCCTTAGTGTCTGCCTGTCGAACATATATTTCAGCTGCCATAGGCATGCATCGCGTTCCACGGACATTTTGGGCTTTTTGTTTAGCTTTCGGACTTTCCGCTCCCTCACACTCCAGCGGGTGAAGAAGGGAAAGCTGGGAAATTGAAATAGCAAAGAAAATGCGAAAATAGAAAAGCATTAAAATGACAATCACTTTTCCCCATACCCAAAACCCGACGACCCACACCCACGCACAGCACACAAACCCCAAAAATCAACAGTGGCGTCGTCAGTCACTCCCCGACAGGGGGGAATATCTTAAAAATGATGGGGGAAAATGGACAGAGAGAAGAGCCACTAATTTTATGGTGGGAACAAACTTTCGATTTCTCCCCGAGGAGCATCTATTAGGCCGTAATTGAAGCGGTTGGAAGAGGGGATCCAGGCCATGTCCCTGCTCTGAGTGACTCTGAGGTTGATATATGACCCGGGGAGTGCCGCTGTCGGGAATGTGTGCTAAATCATGTTAATATGACTTTTGATTTCTAAACTGCCTTTTTTCTTCTCCCCCCTTCCAACAGTGGCCCGCTGGTCGCCGTGGAGTGACTGGAGCATCTGCTCCGCGGAGTGCATTCAAGTGCGTCGCAGGAAGTGCCTGAGTCAGGGCCTCCAGACACAAAATCCCGATGGCGATGAGAGCGGCGAACTGCTACTGGGCTCCGGTGTGGGCATGGCAGCACTCATTGCTGCTGCCGCCGCCTCCGGTGGAGGAAGCCCCGGCGAGCCGGCTTCTGGCTCCAGCAGCTCCTCCGACAGTATCGCAGGATATGGCAAATCATTGTGCACCGGAAAGGATATACAGACAGCCGAATGCCGCGGCGAACAGTGCCAGATTGGCAAGGATGGTGAGTGTGCCAGTGACAAGGATGAATGCCAGGGCAGAAGCAACAAAGTAGACAGTTAGACAACAATAACAGCCAGGCCAGAAACGGAATCAGCAGCCAGGACACAGAACCCTTGCCACACAAAAGCCGAGCACTCAACGCTGATTGTCACAATGGGAAATTAACCAAGTGCATTTGTTTGTGCACGGCCACGGGCTTATTTATATATATGTATATATAAATCCGTAGAAATGTAGTATAGAAAGTGTATGGCAGGGACAGTTCACCCCGGGAGGTGGCCAGGCCCCCAGCTCTCTAAACTCTCAACTTCCGACGCCCAATCGAAGGAAGAAGGGTCGCAAATCAATCGCAGCAGCACTTGGAATTGAGATTTAAGTGGGGAGTCGCCAGCTCTGTGGGTTTATGTGCTTTGCCAGATAATTAGGCGTGCGGCAAAGACAGCAGCAGGACCAGGAACAGCATCCGTCCACCCCCAAAGTTTGTCCCTTTTGCCACCCCAAAATCTGAGCTTTTCCCGTGTCATTGTTGCTGTTTGCCATTCGATTTTCCAAAGGGGGAGCTGTGCCTGTGCCGAGTGTGCGATTGACCCAACTCAAACATAGTTTCGTGCGGTCCATGGGGATCAATTAGATGGCTGTCACAGTGTGTAATTGAAAGGATCAGGATTCAGGATCAGGAGCTCTTGTTGTGGGGGGAGGGCATTTTGGCAGGTTTGTCTTTTATTTGATTGCCGTGCTGAAAAGTTTACGAAGAGATTGACACGACGAGTGTGTGTGTATGTGGGAGTCCTAGCTTATTTTCGATTCTATTACGATTCAGCAAAGGCAGAGGCAAAGCCAATTCAATCCAAGTTCCCTGGGGCCACCGATACCTGCGGCTTCATCATGGACCCATTGTCAGCAGCCTGTACTCAACCATCTGATATTAAAAGCGTATTTGTCAGGCCAAGGAGACGAGACCCGTCCTCGATGTCCCCTTTTGATGTCCCTTGCAGGAGGGGATTTTCCAAAAGAGAAAAGTAAAAAAAAACCCGGTATGCAAAATGCACAAAAGCAAAGGGAAAACGAAAGCCCTGACTGAGATGTATCCCAGTTGGGGATGCTGCTACGGTTGCTTCCGATGCTGCCGCTGATTTACAGCGAATATAATTGCTCATTTCATACATTGTATAATGCGTCCACCCACTCAGTCAGTCAGTCAGTCGGTACTTCCCCTCGAAAAACCAAATCCAGCTCCGTCTCCGAATGAATCCCTTCCTTGTGGAGCGGAGTAGTAAGTACTATACGGCATAATAATCATAATATATACAGAGTAATTCCTTGCGCTGCAGCGATTCCTTCTTTTTCGCCAACCGACAACCAGTCACCGCCAGCGCCCGGCAACAATGACGACAACAATCACAGCAACGGAAACAGGCAGCGCAACAATGGGAGTCCAACCGTGTGGGTGTGGGTTTTCATTGGGCATGGAGGAGATCTTTACCGAGGATGGGGAGCAGGAGCAGGAGCTGGAGCAGGAGCTGGAGCTGTGCTGACTACGCTGCTGGCGACGGGGGGCCGGCGGCGAATAATAATGCGAAATAGACGTAGCTGGACTGGGGATGAGCATACAAACATAAAACATTAAATACAGACATACACTGCTCCGCTCCGCTCAGCAGAGCGCCAGATATACGGATACGCATGGCTGCTCCGGATTGATGACAATGGTTGGAGGTGGAGGAGGAGGTGGATGAGGAGGATGCAGACCCTGTTTGGTTATGGAAAAGTTCGGTTCGGTTTCGGTTCGGTTTCGGTTCGGTTCGGTTTGGTTCGGTCCCCGGTTCAGTTCAGTTCAGTTTTTGGGTTGACTCAACATCCATGAATGTGTGGATTTCGCTTGGCAGGCATCCTGAAAAGCACCGAGGGTGGCGGCGGATTTACGCAGAAAATTCTTGGTTTCTCCACATTTTTTTTTTAATGCCCAAACACACAAAGATTGGCAATTGGAATGGGATTCACTGGGTGGCAGCATCTTGGTTCGAAGGCAGAAATTGCAGGCAGAAAGGCAGCCCGGCGAGCAGGCCGGCTTTATTGCCATTCAGTTTTGTTGAAGGTGAATGGTATCTGAAGGGCCACTTTCCCGGATGAGCTAGGAGTTACTCACTAGTTTGAATGCTGAAAGAAGAAAATAATATATATAGTATTATATATTAACTTTTAGGTAAAAGAATGCCTTACTTTCATGTACAAATCTGTCTGAAAGGAGCCATTGAAGTTCTTTGGTTTAGTTATGTGCTTCGGTGGCTTTTGCTTTCGCTATTAATTCAGCATGAAATAAAATGACAAAATATATTTTAAATTTAAAATAAGTTATCTCAGAGTGCTTAAAGACTTTCCTTTGATGGAAATTACCTAGGGTATAACCAGTAAACTCAGCAGTTTTATATGAATCCACACAACGCTTGGCTATTGCAGATTTCGATTGGACCCTTTATCTGGGACTGGCCTTCATAACCGCGGTCTGCTTCGCCTTTGGTGCGGCCCTGATCTGCTGCGCCCGCCGTGGCATTCGCACCAATCCCCACTACAACATGGCCCGCTCAGGTGAGTTGAAACGGAAACCCTGCGTCCCGACAGCAATGCTGACCAAGTGTGTGTTTTCGATTCCGATTCCGATTCCGCAGTAATGGACGCGGATTATATGCCCGGCGTGGTGGAAAAGAAGGAGATGCGCATGCACATCGAGGCCAGCAACATGGGTTACGATTACGTCAATCCCGGACATCGGTACTTGCCCAGCATGGGCATGGGTATTGGATGCGGCGGCGTCGGTGGCGGTGTCACCGAGCACCACTACGATGTGCCCAATCTGTCCGCCAAGTAAGTGTACAAATAAGCTGGAAATGTTATTAGTTTGCTCAGTGTATATATGTCCTTTTTATACACTTGCTCATTGTATCCTTTTGTGGACCTTGAGTCGCGACTTGGTTACAATATGGTTTAAATACTGTTGCCAGGAAGGGTTCCTTGACTTTGCTTATATTTTGGATTATCTGTGGATTATAGTACTTGAGTTTAAATAACTTTAAAGCCTAGTTTTTTTACTATGTTTCATGTCTTTGCTAAGGACTTTCTTAATGTCTCTCTTTGTTGTATTTCCGAATTTTAATACTTTTTCCTGAAGAGAGCTTACATTTTGATTACTTTTTTAAAGAAGTATAATGTCCTTTTTTACGACTCTCAGTCATGTTAAGTACGTCCTTAGTTATGATTCTTTTAATGTCCTTGCCAAGGCAACGAAATTACTTCCTGCTTGAGAAGAGTCCTTCATTTTGAACTATATGAGGAGTTTAAATATTTAATAGCCTCTGAAGTATTCGTTTTATATTCTTTTTAGTTTCAATAGGCAATATATTTTTAATTAAATATTAATTTTGTTTTCCTGCAGCTACACCAACCCCATTGATCATCTCAGCGTGGATTATTTGTCGGAAACCGGGGAGTCCTCCACTGCTGATACCTGTAAGGAATCTTAAGTTAATATTAACTTGAAATAGAAATGATTTTTATGGTTTTATAGCCAACTCCACCTTTGACATGAACAACAAACTCTCCATACTCAACGCCTCCAAGAGCAGCAGCTACGAGCTCTTGGGCAGCTCCGGCGGACAGCTACGTCTGTATGGCGGCGAACTGTTGCTCTTTGTGCCGGAGCATGCCATCGGCAAGCACACGAAGAAGCATGTGTCCCTGCTCCTGCTGAGCGATGAGTGCAGCCGGGTTTCCTGCGCCACCGAAAGCTCCATCCTGTGCAGCAGCGTGGTGCACAGTGCCCCGCGTAACTATAGCTTTGTGAAGCCAGTGATCCTGAAGATTCCTCACTGCCTGGTGGCCCCGGAGCAGTGGCATGTCCACATCTACCATGCGGATAGCGAGCATGACGAGCTGAGCGTGAACTGGCGACGAGCGGTGTCCGTGGGCGAGGAGACCATCAACACGCCCATGTTCGTGCAGCTGGAGTCGCGACATGTGTTCATCATGACGGAGCAGCTGGGCCACTTTGCCGTGGTGGCGGAACCAAGGATCCAGCAGCCCTCCATCAAGATGAAGCTGCTGGCCTTTAGCCAGCACACGCCACCGAGCAGCGCCAACTGCAGTTTGCGGATCTATGTGGTCAAGGATTTGCCCAATAGTCGTGACATCTGCGCCAACGTAGAGGCCAAGCTGGGCGGCAGTTTCCTGGGTGAAAGCCAGGTCTTTGCCTTCACCCTCAACAGCCGGAACCTCAATATCCGCGTGCGCAGCGCCGATGTGGAGGCAGCGGCTCCCTACGAGCACGCCATACCCTACCAGCACATCCTCAGCAACAACTCCATCCTGCACTGTGAGTTCAGCCTGCGGCGGCAGGATCAGACCACACTCTGCGTGGACTTTGGCCAAGGGAACGAGGACGATGCGGACATATATACCTTCAACATTCCGGCCCACTCGTTGAGCGGCTCGGCGGAGGAGCTGGCCTCCACCACAAACACCACGATCTCCATCGACCGGCAGGGCAACTATGTGAACGAGAGCTGTGTGATGGACTTTGTCCAGCTGCCGCATGCCACCAAGCGCCTGATCTGCGCTGCCTTGGATCCACCTCGGGCTGACGAACGCGACTGGCGATTGCTGGCCAAGAAGCTCAATACGGACCGGTATATCGCCTATTTTGCCACGAAGGCCTCGCCCACCGAACAGATCCTGAACCTGTGGGAGTGTCGGGCGAATAGCTCACCCGGTAATAGTTCCAACTCGGTTTCGCACACGATAATGAACCTGTTGCTCACGCTCAAGGAGATGGGACGCCAGGATGTGCTGGACATAATCGTGGAGACGATTGGTCCGCTGTGGTTCTAAAGAGTGCCATGGGATTATAATATCCTCTGTTTCAAATTTGGCTAATATACCTACATATATGTGTATCTTTGATGCCAAATGGGATATAGAAATAGGGAGTGATACTTGAAACAAACTAAGCGTTGAATTTCTTTGTTGATTTTTACAAAAACTTTTCCCCATTTTCAACACCAACGAATCTTTAATATACTTCCCTTTAATCTATGTGTATGTTCCCAAAGAAATACTTACAACACCTAAGAACTGAAGAACCACCTGCAAAGTTTGTTAACGTGTTTAATATTGGTAAAAGCAGCAGTCCCCATTGTTGTTGAAAACAAAAATGTTCATGAGTTGCCTTTTATTTACAAAATGTATGAACGACACGAAACGAAAACTGGAAAAACTTGAATCGAAATGAAGGAAAATTTGAATCAAAGTGTAGTCTGTAGTCATTAGCCTCTAAGTTAAGACGGTAACTTGCTCAACGAACACTGTTCCCTATGGGTGCCATGCATTTTATACACTAAACCAGGACGATGGAAGCGAAAGGTAGAGATTAATTATACTTGTGGCTTAGCAAACTTATAGTTTTAAACACTAAACTGTAGTATTATGTACGATATGGCAGCTGTAAGATACGAGTGCAGGATCTGTGGCAAAATATATATCTAGAGTTAAGTTATGGGGAGCCCGACGACCTCCTCCATATATGCCTGAGTTGTAAACTGTTTTGCCAAATCGTTGAATTTCTCAGCAGACTCTAGTTAATGGTGGACAGCATTTAGTAATCAAAACTAAGCACACAATATACGAAAGGCCTTGTAATAACAAGTTGCTTAGCGCCCTATCTCTTTTGGCCTTTTAAACAAAATAGCAAGAGAGCCTAGAGTGTTAGACATCTTGTCATTATAAGGCCTTTGCATATACCCATACGTATGTAGCCTCTCATATATATACCACGTATTTGTATATTTAGTGTACGTACAACATAGTTATAGTTACGAAAAAGAATAGAAAACAAAACGAGTAGCTTGTTAGACATACTCAAGTGATAACCTTTGTATTTGTCTTTAGTTGTAAGTCTGATCCTGTCGTTTAATCGTTAATCAATTAAGCAACGTATACTTAGTGGCCCCACAAGCAGAAAAGAGAAAAGTTCAATAAATACAAATGGAAATACAAATAAAAACTGCAACAATAATCAAAGGCAGGACTTTAATTTAAAAACTTTAAGCTACTTTACTGGCAGGGTCATCCTCCTCATCTTCTTCGTTGTCCATTAACATGCTGATATTAATTAAATGACGCATAGTAGGTCGGCCATGTGGGCAGTTCTGTTAATTTTACATTTAAATTTCAAGGATTCAAATAAATATTTGGGGTTAAAAGCTTACCCATGGCTGATCGATTTCCCCCATTTGTGTTATAAGCCGCCTCATTGTTGTCGTTCGATTGAGAGCAGTGCCAATCATCACAGATTTCCGGCATGCCCGCGACGCGAACATGGCACGCACCCGCGATGGCCGACATATTGTGCCCTCGGGTGCATCCTGCAGCATGAAGATGAGCTCATCGATGTCCTCTTTGCCGAATTCCCAGCGCCGACTATGCGGTTTACCCAGCAAACGCACTTTCTTAGTGGGAGGAGCTGAAATGTAAAGGTATGTTACTTTATACACTGTCACTCCTTATGCTTAGTCTTACCATCTTGATTGATCTCAAACTTAAAGCCATTTTTCTCAAATACCGGTAGGTGATCAATGAGCACCATTTCATTGACCGCCGTCAGATCCAGCGATTGGGGCACCGCCAAGCGCTGATACTCCAGCTGAGTGCTGCGCTGCAGGGTCTCAAAGTTGTACTTCTCATCGGTGGCATGCTGGTCCACAATGAAGAGATCATCCTCCAGCTTGACAATGATGAAGCCCAGATTGAACTGTCCGATGATTTCCATGCGGACAAAGTCTTCCTTTCCTATTTCCCGCTGCAGTTCCGCCTCCGCGTTATTGTTCTGATTCGGATTAATCTCGCTTTTGAAACGCAGGCGCTGCAATTTGGCACGTGCTCGCCGTTCTCGTTGCTGGTGCTCTTGGGCTTTTATAGAGGAAGCAATCTCCTCCAATGTAATATGGAGCTCACTACTGGCAAAGTTGGGGGCGGGTCCCTCTTCCACATCCTCCTCCTTATCGAATTCTATGCGTGTCGGAAGTTCAATGCCATCGTCATCGTCGTCTTCACTGTGTTCTTCTGTTTCGCCGGATAACTGCGAGGAAATGGGAGCCTCTTCCGGTTTAGACTCCGGTTTACTTAGTATCTTGATCTCTGGCCTAAATTCTGCAATACTACGGCGGCTTTTTACTGGCGTCAGGACCTTGCAATCAATTCGAGCTGCTTTAGCAGGCTGCGTCAGAAGATCGTAGGCTGCAAAAGATAAATTTCTTTACAAATCCCTTCCTGCTTTCCGTAGCCTTACCCTCCGACTCCTTGGCCAGCTCCTTTAGATTCACGAAACTATCATCAAGCTTGGCCTGCTCCTTGTTCTCCTTCGCCTTTTCCATATCACTCTCCTCCTCTCCGGATTGCTCTGATGACTCCTTTGGCGCCTCTTGACTAAGGAAATTATGAATTTTTTGCATTTTCATGGACCTTGTGGCCAACTGTTCAGTTTCGCTGCAGCGACGCTTTGCAGGAGCCGGTGGAGCTATGCCCTTCGTATCGCCAGTGCGTCGCCATTGGGTGAGCACGTCCATAAACCTCTGCGAGGAACTAATGGGCACCTTTTCAGCCTCATCTTCCTCCACTTTGCTTTCCTCCTCCGTTTTTACCTTCGCTTCCCCGGCAAGTGCTCCAGGAGATTCTATTTTCTCCACCTTGGGTTGCAGCATGCTTACAATGGTTGTATTTTGCATCTGAAATGTAGCCGGTGTCTGGCCAAAGGTGTCCAGCAGGGATTTCTTCAATGCTAAGAGCAGAATCCTTTCGTTGTTAATCAGTAATTGGCGTTTATCGGGCGTGAGATTCACATCCACATCGGAGCGGGCAGTGACAATGTTAAGATAGATAAAGGGCTGCTGCTGGACATTATAGCGATGGTACATCTCGTTCATTACCTTGGCGATCTGGAAAGGTAAATTAAATGAAACATACTCTCAATTGAGTTAAATTGAAGAAACCCTTTACGCACATTCTTGGGATCACAAGGTCTTGAGTTAACAAAGAAGAACTGACGATCTCGGCTGGAACGCCCCGCCCCGTGGCGGCAGCTGGAAATGTAGCCCTCCAGCTGAAAGTCGGCTTGATTAAGACGCTCCACATCCTCGGAGGTAACCTGCGTGCAGGTGGTGGTGTCTGCAGCATCGACAGAGGCGTCCAGATCGGCCCGCAGCCCCGCCTCGCTCAGTTTACCCTGCTCGAAGGGTGACTTTAGTGGCACCAACTCCGACGCTTGGCGTGCTCCAAAAATCGCTGATATATTGGCTAACACATCCTGGCTGCCATGCGTCTGCAGGACCATAGTTTTGGCGCCCTTAGGGGTTTGATTGCTGCAAAGGATGCGGACGCCCTTGGTGACTAGACAGTAGGCCTGCAGGATTTGGCACATCTTGGTGAACTCCTTCTTGATGTTTCGCGTGAAGTCACGGCGGCGTACAGGCAGAGTGGCAAAGAGATTGGACAGAGTCACCGTGGTACCCACACCGCGGGCGCAGGGCGAACGCTTCTTGAACTTGCCTTCGTGATCGAGTTCTACTTTAATGCCTGGCATAAATCAAGGAGTTTAACGGAAGAGTAAATACTGGGAGCTACGACTACGACTTACCCACTTCAGTGGACTTGTGACGCGTTTGGATGATCATGTCCGACAAGGCGCAAAGAGAACTTAGGGCTTCGCCTCGGAAACCAAAGGTTTCCACGCCCAGCAGGTCAACAAACTCACGGATCTTGGAGGTGTGATACTTGGCGGCTTTAAATAGGGCCATTAATTAACAATTTGATCAATTAAGATGTAGCTTTAGATCATACTCATGCCTTCCAGATTGGCCTCCTCCACGCCGCTGCCATTGTCGCTGACTTCCACGCCTTGCAGTCCTTGATCTTTCAGCTTAATCTCCACCAGAGTGGCGCCTGCATCTATGGAGTTCTCCACCAGCTCCTTGACAGCCACCGCCAAGCTGAGCACCACCTGTGGATGGGTTTATAGAGGAAAGTTTAGGAGATTAAAAAACGTAAACATCAGCCCGCCAATTAAAGTCTTACTTGTCCCGAGCAGATTTTGTGCACTGTATCCTTGCCAATGGCCTTGATTTGACCCGAGGCGACTGTAGTGGGCTTGGGAATGTCGGATTCATCCCCTTTGTCTTCTATTTGGTTGTCTTGTTCCATTATTTTAGGGAAGAATAACAAAAATTATCTTGAAGTCGTTTGAGCGGTTTGTTTATGTTTGGAGGGGAGCTGCCAACTCGTTTGGAATGCGTTTCTTGCCAGCGGATTGCTGTTTTGTTTTGTTGCGATAGTTGAGAATCAAAAATCGCATGCTATATTTTCGGTCCATAAGGGGAAATACACAAAATAAGCTATTTTTACCATAACAAATATATATTTATTTCCATTTTGTTGTTTTACACTAGTAGGGTATTCTAATTTTAGTCTAAGCCTTGCAACATAGTGAAGGAGTCATTTCCGACCCTATAAAGTATATATATTCTGGATCAGCATCCGGGAGAAAAATAAATTTTATAAATTTATTATAAGGGGTTACATCATTAAAATGTTAAAAAACTGGGAAAAATTTTAATTATTTTGAATATTAAATTGAGTATTCAGATTTATAAACCTAATAAAAACTAACATAGGTAAGCTTTCCGAATTAAAATTAGTGTCCTTTGGCTTAGTTATGATATTTTTTAACTTTGATTAGCTCAGAAAAATGTCATATTCAAATAAAGATCAAAAGTCCATTCCAATTCGATCTCCATTTTTAATTCATAATGGTATACCCAACCACTAATGTGTCCGATTTGGTAACGACGGACGGGACAGGAGACGGAGCCTGAGCTTTCGGTTGTGCGGGATTCTTGACTAAATATCCGTCTTGAATTAAAACAGTTCCAATAATCTCAAGTGTAAAACTATTATCATGTCTAGTTGGTTGTATTGTTTTCATGGGTTGGAAATACGGCAATTCAACTTTGAAGTCCATCATGTATCGTATTTTACGATAAATTTTGAAGCAAAGGGCGTACAATGCAAGGAAGATGAGCATGGCAGAGCCAACGATGACCACCAACTGCGCAACACCTTCCGAAGGTGCGGGAGTGCTCCACACCATACCGCCACGGCTCCCGTCGTTGTAATTGGCTACTATGGCCATGTGGTACATTGCCTGGGATTTGCCAAATTGGAATCTAGTCCGATATATTTCCAGGTTGTCGGATAGCATGGGTTCCTGGTCGTCGCACTTACTTGAGTTTGTGGTGGACATGCGACATGAGTACAAGGTGTAGCCTTCGAGGTTGTCTTTCTCTATGGGATCGTCCCACCGGATACTTTTGATTTTGTCGTCGTACCACACATTCCGAGGTTGCCGCCGGTGGGCATTGGTAAGAATGGGCACCCTTAGGTGGCTGCTGTTCAACGAGCTGCCCAAGGAGTTCTCACTTTGAATGGTGAGGTTGGCCGGTAGCTCGGGGAGCCAATTGCTAAAGACAGCATAGTCGCGGCCGACTACCGAAGCAATGTGACTGAAAATTAAGGAAATTTCGGGAGAATTAGGTATATTCAAATTTACGCTTACTGAAAACTTACCCATTGCTTGAACTGACCGTGTACCACATGTCCTTTGAACAGTACTCCCACACATCCAAAGGCTGCCAATAGATGTGCAGCTCTTCCTTTTTCGGATCGTAATAGAATCCATTAATCTGTGGAGGTCGTTGGGGAAGGGGGCAGACCACAGTCTTTTCCGTATCAATATTCCATTCTGGCACTTCCATCTGATCCAGTGTTAGGCTGTACTCCTCAACCTGCTCATCTTGAGGGGTACCCAGCCGGATAACAAACTTGTGACTATCAATTTTATCAAATTTGGTTTGTCGAAGCCCCGCATAGAGGCACCGAATCTGAGTTCCATTGTAGCCCGCCAGCTGGCACCGTACTGTTGCCGTATCATCCAGGGTCAGATTACTCTGGATATTTACCCATTTAGCCACGGGTCCCAACTGATCGAAGCCGCAGACCAACCGATCTCTACATGACTGCCACCGACAACCAAAATTTCGAATGGGAATTTGAGCCGCCTTCGTCTCAGACAGCAGTGTCAGCATCGCTATCAGCTTTAGGAGAAGCGTTCTCCTCTCCATTGTAACGAATACTGATTAATCGAACAAACAAACCCGAGCTTAAGAGTCTGGAAGCAAATACCAACAAGAAATTAAACTGATAACGACAAACATAAAATCAATTCTGATTAAGACTATGTTTGTTCACACAAGACTGCTAGCAACAATATAGTAGCAGTAGTTCTTGGAATTAATTTTGATAATATTCTATAACTATTATATTTTTATTTACCTGCAATTACTATGATGGGAGCCGGGTATTTCGATGAGGACGCCTCTAACTTTTATAGGGGGGTTTTTAAGATCAATTATAATCGATCGATTATAATCTTTCCATTAAAAACATATTAGCTATTCACCCAACCGATTTAGGTTCTGATGGCGATGTAAGTTTAACCCCTATCAGTTGTAAAAATGACAATTTGGAGTCTACTGCTCCTCGGATGTTGTTTTTTGCGGCATGGCGTAGGCTCATCAAATATTAAAAACTATATATTAAGAAATAACTTAAAAGGTTTTCCCTGTAGATTGAAGCCCAGTTGGTCTACAAGCTGATGAAAATTGATTGCCAAGGAAATTCGGCCAGGGTTAATAATATCTCCTGTCACGTAAAAGCTATCAATTGGAATCTGGCGGTAGTGAACATGGATTGTTTCCTAAGAGTGCCTCTACGAAAAGCGGTTGTAAGAAAGTGTTTAGTTTCTAACTCGAATCTATGATTACCATTCTTCATTAGCTTCAAGTGCAAGTATTCAAGAAGGACTATTCCAACCAGTACAAACCATTCCTGGTTGATGTCAGCGTCAACATGTGCGAGGTTATCGAGAGAAGGAGCTATATGCCATACGGAGTTATGATATGGAAGTTACTGAAGCAATATACTAATGCTAATCACAGCTGTCCCTTTTCGGTAAGACATTATAACATAATATCCGACTCCAGGAAATAAAATCATATCCTCCACAGGGCCAGATGACCGCTCGAAATGGTTACCTGGACACCAGTCTGGTTCCACCTTTTCCCCAGGGCTTCTATCAAGTCAGTATCTCGTTTACGGATATGAATTCCACCCACAGCGAATACGTGGGCAATGTTAAATTCTACGTTCAAGCCATGGAACATATTAAGACCAAAAAGAAACCCCGAAACAAACCATATTTGTAAGATCTCGCCTATATCGGACTGGGTATGAACTCGTATATCACGGACGACAAATAATTATAAACAAAAAGTAAGGCAAGAAAGGGATTAATGATCCGTAAAACATGTTAATTATAGCTATTGTTTAGGTGGAACGATTTAAACTGAGAATACAAAATTATTAACCATTAAAAACCAACAGTCCCGCCACTTGCTGCTGATGAGCTTTTCACTAAAATTATAAAAAGATAATCGAAAAAAAAAGGAGCTACATATATATATCCCTTAAAGTATCATGATATGGAAGCTATTTAACAACGCGACTCACTTCTGTCCCTTCTCGGTAAAGTATTGTAATATAAATTTTGGAATATAACGTACTTAGTATCTTCCGCAGGGCCAGTATGATTCCGTCATTTCCTCAAGGCTTCTAATTTCCACCACACAACGAGTACCAAACCATGGAGCAAATGAATACCAAAAAGAAGTCCGAGCTCTGATGAAATCTATTTGGAAGAAAGTGTTTGTTAATAAAGAAAATATAATAAAATCCAATATTCTCACCCGATTTTACAGCAGACTTTCTCCAGCATCAACAAAAGTTCGATAATATATAACTTTTCAGCAAAAATATTTATTTATTCAACGGATTACAACATGAAAAATTATCTTAACTATATGGTAAATATAAATGTATAAACGCTTTGTCCGAATTATATGATTGAGTAATTAATGTGATGATGTATCCAGTCCTGGTATGTCAAAGTGTCAATGGATAGTGGTCAGAGTTGTGGGAACAGAAGGAGCTTAGCCTAATCTGATACTTATAGATATATGTAGCTGGGTCATTGCTCGACGGGGTCCCGCGTCCTGGCTGGGTGGGTGAGTTAGTTGCTCTTCGCGTTCGCCTTGCTCTCCAGCTTCTCGATGATCTTGTTCATGTCCATGTCCTTGGCCACCTTGATGTACATGGTCTTGCGGACCTCGTGGAATGATGTCCAGCTGGGCAGCTCCTTGGCCAGCAGCTTCAGATGCGCCTCGATCTCCTGCGGCGTAAGATTGGCCCGGAAGCTGTTCTCAATCTTCTTGATGATTATCTCCAGGGGCAGGACTCCCTTGCGTTCTGTCACGAACACGTTGCGCAGGTGCCTGGCCAGCTCCGGCAGTCGGGAGTACTTGGTGGCCTCCTGGTCCTGTGAGGGTCGCCGGGTCATGGCATCCAATGCCTTGGCAGCCTGCTTGGCTCGGATCTTTTCGATCAGTGACTTGGGCAGGCCCTTTAGCAAGTTTGAGGCGCCATCCGGGGCAGTGCACTCTTTCACTGTGGGCTTGGCTGTGGCTGTTTGGTCGGTTATTGCCGCTGTCTTGGTTGCTGCAGGGATAGCCGGAATTCCTCCTGCTGCTGTTGCTGATATTCCAGGGATTCCTTGGTTTCCCTCAGTTCCCGTGCTTGCATTGCTAGTGCCCAATGATGGCTGCTCTTCCGCTTTTCTATTGCCTTCAACCGCCTGCTGTCTGTCTGCCTCCAACTTGGCCTCATAACGATCCATGGCCCGCTCCATGGGCGTGGCACAGTTGAAGAGATTCCTTGCCGTGGACAGGATATCCTTGGCCGAGGAGTACTTCTCCACATTCGGTGGCTGGGGCAGCGGAGCCAGTTCCACCTCCGGGCAGCTTTCCAGATCGAACTGCGGATGCCAGCGAGTCAGCGCCTTATCGATGATGATTGGCGGATCCTGGGAACGGAGGAATTGGTCGTGGGCCTGTTTCACTCGATCGAGAAGCAGACTCTGGAAGCGTTGCATACGCGCTGTCATGACGTGTGGATTCATAGACGTCGACTGAGCCGACGAGAGCACATCGTCCTCGTCGATCTTGGCAAAGCGTTGTGTCTGCTCTGCGGGTCCCTGCTCCACATTGGGACTAATGATCAGCTGGAAATAGTCCGCCTTGGACACGGAACCGAAGTTGCGCATCTTCATCTGGCTGAAGATGAAGGCCTCCGGATATATGTGCCGGATCTGGGCCAAATGCATTTCCGTAAAGTTCTTCCTTAACATCCGCTGTACCGCTGGCTTCAGTTTCTTAAATGTGATGCACTCCTTGCGGTTGTGGAACATGGCCACCACCGAGTCCAGTCCCTTGAATACTTCCAACAAGTGGCGATATTTGTACGGCAATGGCAGTTGGCCGGCGCGGCTGCTTTCCACCAGACTGGCGTAACGCTTGTAGGCCGGTACCTCCACCAGCTTGACCGGAGAACCATTCTTGGCCGGACTGAAGAGCAGACGCTTGGATACGTCCGTGTGCCGGGGCGACATGAGCTCATGTTTATCGGGTGTGGGTGGCGGTAGCTTCGTGGGTGTCTTGAAGGTTTTCAGGGGGCTGAAGCGAGCAAGAGAAAAGAGAGGAAACAATGTAGGTGATATTTATTATAGAGGTTGGGTTTATTCTTAAAAATAGTCAACAGGTGTTTTTTTTCTCATCTTTATATATCTACATATGGAATTGCAAGTCTTGAGACAATAATTTAAAGGTTAAATTATTAAAAACAGCGAATAGATATACATATCATTAAAAGAAGCTGCATAGCGAGAGTTTCAAGTTTAAAGAAAGTGTAAGTTGTGTTGGGATAAATTCCTTCCTCCTAACATTAAATTTACATATTTTTTATTTAAAGAAACCTTTGTTTTGTTACTTTTCCTATTTGAAACATATCCTATACGATCCTGAGAACCCTCCTCTCTTCTTGAAGTCATAAGAAAACCGTTACGAAAAAAGGTTGCTACCTGAAAATGCACACACATATATACACACACAGGCTGATCCCGGATAGTGACTCGCATTCCCATGCAACACAGCAGTTAGCAGATCCTTGTTTTCCTCAAAACAGAGAAAGGGAGAGAGAGAGCGTAAGCAACCCCCGATGCGGGCATTTTCTAAAAGGGAAGGTCAGGCCAGATAAGTAATGTCTGGCGAAGGGTAAACATTGCTATACACACACACACACACACACACTCATTGCTGGGGTAGGGAGGAAGGGGGAGGGTCAGTCTGCATGTTGTACAGACGTCACGAATCAGCAACCAAAAATAGCTATAGACCCAAAGCCAAGCCAAGCCAAGCGGTGACTATTCTTCTTCGGTTTGCTGGAAATGTGCAACTTCAGCAACTTCGGAGCCGGAGACCCAACCGAAGCGACCCGGAGAGCGACCTCGATAGCAGCAGAACTGCCAGCAACGGTTGGCCTTTCGCTAAAATGATGTTACCCGGTTTTTTTAATATATTTTTTTCTCTTTACACACTCCGTGGTTGGGTTTGTTTATGCCGATTCTAGGCCACCAAGCCAAGTCGAAATTGTTGTGGCAGGCACATACCTCTCTCTCTAGCTATAGATTTGGAAAATGAAGTTATATTGGCTGCACAAGTTATATACTATTATATATAAGTTAAAGTTTTAAAGGATAAAGGGATAAAGAGGCAAAGATGTAGAGGGTTAGGTTAGAAAAGAATAATTTGTAGAGGATAACAACCAAGAAGCAACCTAAAAACTCACCTCGTCAGCACCTCTAGTTCGATGGTATCGAACTCCTTGAGCTGCACGCTCACTCCGGATTTCGAGGGCGAGGGGCCAGCTTCCCGTAGCTTCCTGTTACGTTCCTCCTGCTCCTTGCGCTTCTGCTCCAGCGCCGCCTTGCGTGCCAGCACCGCCTTCAGCTCCTGCATTTTGGCGCTGCGCGATATCTTGGTTTTCACCTCGTCAAAGGTCAGCTGGCGTCGTAAATCCAAGCCGCCGGCCTTGATGGGAGAGGCATCCTTGAGGATCTGTTTGGTGGGCGTGCGCAGGCCGCGTTGCACATTGTCCGCATTCTGCTGGCTGGTAATGGTGAAGTTCACCTTCGGTGTTACTTCGATGATGGTAGAAGATGATTGCTGCAGCAGCTGCTCGTCGTCCAGTTTGCTGGACTGCGCCTGCTTGCGCGGCGACAGGGTGCCCTTCTTGATGAACTGCACCAGCTTGGGCTGCTTGATGTGCGCCTCCAGCTTGCCGGCGGCGGCTGTGCTCTTCTTTTTGCCGCCCTCCTGGGCGGTGACTATAAGGCGGACATTGCGGCCTGAACGGGTGCGCATCCCACTGGCCGCCGCCTTCAAAGTGTCGATATCCGCATCCTGGTCAGCAGGAGCTGAAGCAGGTAGCTGCTGTGGGGCGGCGGACTCAAGGGGCTCCGCCAGGCGCTGCAAGGGGAGGGGGAAGACGAAGAGGAAGCGTCGGTAAGAATGGCTGCACTCGGGGCACGCATTCGCAGATACAAATGTATCTGGTCACGTTTCTGGGGCGGATTGCTTACCCTGTTCTTGGTGGTAATCGCATCGTCCAAAGCGGCACGCTTGCGATTGGTGAAAAATGCAGCTACGGATGGCTGGGCCATTGCTTGTGTGTATTTATTATTCCTATTTGCGATTGCAGCTTGGCGTCTCTTGTTGTTGCGGGCACTTCTCGGTTTTTTCACTGATGGGCACGTCTGGTAATTGTTCTCTGCTGCGGGGTCTACTTGATAATTGATATTTTCCTAAGTTTGGTCACCACGTCGTGCCAGCGCACTGCTCGAATTACAAGTGGCCACGATTTTTTGATGGATGCAGTTTCCCTCCAAAACCTAAATTTGCGCCAAAACGCCAGCAGTGCTGGAAAACGAGCCACGGCGGTTACTTGGCAGCACTGGGCGAACAGCTGTTGGGGCTCAAGACCCAAAAAAAAAAGCTACGGTCACACCATTTCGTGTTTTCCATCACTAGTTAAATTCTGCTTGCTGATTTTGTTCTTGTGCGCGTAAAATTTGTTCATTTCGGCTGCATTTGCGCGCGCTGGGCGACGCTGGCGAACCGAGATGTTATTGGACTAGTGCGCGGCACTTGCAAACCCAAGTACGTTTGGGGGAAACGTCGTTTTCGGAGCAATCGAAGCTGCGCAAATATGCCAAGAGAATAATCCACGAAAGAGTGAGCGAGACAACAAATCTTTGCAGTGTGCGACAGGGATAGTTTAGCAAAACCATTACGTTACGTTACGTTAGTGTTCGAGTTTAACCAAGGTTTAAGTCTGTGGTTCAGTGCTGACACTAGTTCTTTTCAAAAACTACGTAAGCATTGTTACAACTTTCAACACAATTGCCGAAAATTCTGAAATGGTTTCGCTTTAACTGGTGTTATTTCATAATGTTTAAAAACGTCGGGAATGCTATTGTGTTGTGTTGTTTATTTGTTGAAAACGATTTAGCAGTTGTGGTTTAAATACTGTCATCACTGGCTACCATATTGGTTTCAGTCCGCTCTATTTCAGTAATTGTGTATTTTGAAATATTTCAGCTGCGGTCACACTGGAATCGAGCGTTTTGGAGTTTAGCGAGATTTTTTGTGCTAATTTTTCGTGCAGAAATCGAAGCAGCCGCCGTGTTAATTGGGAACAAGTGGAAGCCCCAAGGCAAGTAGACCCCCGTGCTGTTGTTTTTGCCGTTTCTGCTGCCCGTACGCGTAAGCGTTTTCACACCAACGGCAAAGCCCCAGAAGTTGGCGAAAAAAGAAGAAAAGAATACAGAGGGGGAGAAGGAACGGCAAAAACAACAAAAACAACGAGAGACAAGCGTGAACATTGCCTTATTGAGATTTGTGCACGTTGCTGCCAGATCCCCGCCTCTCCCCGAGCCCCCAATCCTTCGTTTTACCGCTCCCCCGCCCAATCTCCACTCTTTTCTCACTTCTCTATTCCGTTTCGCCACACACAACAGCTGTTACACCTGGTGGGAAGAGGAGGAATCGGAGATAGAATAAAAAATAGAAGCGACCGCGAGCAGCGACATGAACTCGAAGGCTGACGTCAACCGCCGCGTTCTGGCCATTCAGGCGAAGAAGAAGCGCCATAAGAACAACAAGAAGCGGGGCAAGCAGAACGGCAACGCCTCCCAGGAGCAGCCGCCGCCGCCGCATCCCAATCCGAACCAGAGCCCCAATCTGAATAGGAGCAGCGAGAACTTGCAGGCACCGGATAATGCTAATAATAGCCAGGCGAAGATGCCGCTAACGGGCAGCGTTGCCAGCAAACCGTCTGTCGCCGCAGCGTCCACGTCCAGCGGCAGCACGCCCGAGCAGTATCAGCAGGGATCCTCCGGCAAGTCCAAGAACAATCAGCAAAAGGAGCAACATCAGCAGCAGCCACAGCATCAGAAGGAGCAGTCGCAGCAGCAGAACAAGGACCACCTCCAGCAGCCGCCGCGGAGTAGCTCCAACGAGTCGTACGAATCGGAGCTAAACAGCGAGAACGAGGAGCAGGAGCTGAAGGAGGACTACTGCAAGGGTGGCTACCATCCCGTCAACATCGGTGACCTGTTTCAGGGTAAGTCACCTGTTTGCACCCCATTCTCCTTCAAATCGGGTTTCCACCTTCCCCCCACTTTGTTTATCTCCTAACCACACATTGGGTTTCGGTTTTGGGTTTTGGTTTTGGTTTTGCTTTATTTTGGGTGGCCATGTTGGCACTCTCCGACCCAGAAAGAAGCTACCAACAACAACCACGATAGCGGCAACAACAACAGGTTGCCCCGAAGCGCACAGATAAATCGAACGCACAGCGGGTGGATTTTGGACCAGCTCCCTTTTAGCGGGCAAGGGTTGTTTCCTTTTTTTGGGGGGAGGCCAAGCGAACGATGACGCTGCCTCCCTCCGCCTTTCGCTTTCCGCCCACCGCCTCGTGTTGTGGCGACGACAACAACTGGCAACTGTATAGGAAAGAAAATAAGAAGGGGAATGAGGAGCTGTCTCCTCCAAACGATGTCTCCAACATAAACCCCATGCCCACACCACCCCTAGTTCAGAGCATTTTCAGCTTGCATTTCCCACTCGCCCATTTCACTGCCAGCTGCCAGTTTTCCACATTCCTCCCAATCCATTTGCAAGGCTCATCAGCTCTGACGAAAGAAAATCCGGGCAATCGCACGCCAGTGATAAGAGAGTGCGGGCCTGATAACGGCCAGCAATGAAGCTCCACAAAGTAGCTTGATAGTAGGATGCATATTATGAAATGCCAAGCGCAACTATGTCTTCTCTAATAATAGTAGTTGTGATCTGACAGACTATTGGTTTATTTTAATGGAATTGAATTAAAGCAGCTGAAATTTAATGAACTTTCAAATACCCTTCTACTTTCTTTCAACAACAAAGCTTCTAAGAAATCACATGCTTACCAGTATAGGCCAAACAATTAAAACATAATTCATGCGATACATTAAATTATTTATATAAAGTTAACACATTGTTTTAAACTATAAGCTAACTATTATCATTATTATTAATTGTATTATTGGCTGCTATTGCCTACAGCTCGGCCGATGGTGTGATACATTCTTCCTGGTTCTTGCCTCCGCGTTGCTTCATCGCACCGATTTAGGGATCTATGTGTATAGAAAGGGATAGAAAAATAGAGAATTGAATTAATAACTTTATATATTTTTATTTAGTAAAACAAGTTTAAAATTCTCTTCTTCTCTTTGTTTTTATAAGAATAACAAATCACCATTCTCAATTTAACATTTTAAACAACCTTTTGACTAAAATTATAATCCATTCTTTGAGCCAATATTTATTTATATTTTTATATCACCAATCAAATTTAAAAAATGCATTACAAAGCCAAAACGCCATTAAATTCAATTCGGAAAGCAGTCCTGTGCTAGTTTCTATTAGGGTAACAAACATGCATAATCAGTTTAACATTTTAAAAAATTCAAGTTTTTGCCAATTTTTGACAATTTTAATGATGTAACCCCTTATGAAAATTTCAAATTTTCGAAAATTGTGAAAAAAATAGATTTTGATCGGACATGGCTAGATCGATTCAGCTTTTAATGCTGATCAAGAATATATATGGTTTATAGGGTCGGAAATGACTCCTTCACTGTTTTACAGCCTTCGGACTAAATTTAAAATCCAGTCTTTGAGCCAATATTTATTTGTATTTTTATACCACAATTTTTGCGAGCAATCAAAGTTTAAAAAATTCATAACAAAGCCAAAACTACATTAAATTCAATTCGGAAAGCTGTCCTGTATTAGTTTCTATTAGGGTAACAAACCTGCATACTCAGTTTAACATTTTAAACAACCTTGTGACTAAAATTTAATCCCTTCTTTGAGCCAATATTTATTTATATTTTTATACCACAATTTTTGCGACCAACCAAAGTTTAAAAAATTCATAACTACGCCAAAAATGCATTAAATTCAATTCGGGAAGCTGTCCTGTATTAGTTTCTATTAGGGTAACAAACCTGCGTACTCGATTTAACATTTTAAACAACCTTGTGACTAAAATGATAATCCCTTCCCTGAGCCAATATTTAGTTGTATTTTTATACCACAATTTTTGCGACCAACCAAAGTTTAAAAAATTCATAACAAAGCCAAAAATGCATTAAATTCAATTCGGAAAGCTGTCCTGTGCTAGTTTTTATTGGGATAATAAACCTGCATACTCAGTTTAATATTTTAACAAATTCAATTTTTTGCTAATTTTTGACAATTTTAATGATGTAACCTTATGAAAATTTCAAATTTCCGAAAATTGTGAAAAAAATAGATTTTGATCGGACATGGCTAGATCGATTCAGCTTTTAATGCTGATTAAGAATATATATGGTTTATAGGGTCGGAAATGACTCCTTCATTGTTTTACAGCCTTCGGACTAAAATTGAAATCCAGTCTTTGAGCCAATATTTATTTGTATTTTTATACCAAAATTTTTCGACCAACCAAAGTTTAAAAAATTCATAACTAAGCCAAAAAATGCATTAAATTCGATTCGGAAAACTGTCCTGTGTTAGTTTCTATTAGGGTAACAAACCTGCATACTTAATTCAACATTTTAAACAACCTTTTGACTAAAATTAGAATCCATTCTTTGAACCAATATTTATTCATATTTTTTACCACAATATTTGCTTATCAAACTATAAATATCAGAAAAATTATATTTTATTGATTCGTTTTTTCGTATAATATACAATCTTCATCGAATTCGTAATATAAATCGATAGTCTTAAAAAGAACGTACTTAGTATAGATCTTATATGTAGAATAATGTTAATGAAACTATGAAAACTCTACCCCGAAATATGGTTATCCGTGCCTTGCAGTAGGCCCATGTTCCCTCTGAATTTGAAGTGAGGCACAATGACCACACGAGCTCTCCCCGATTTTAATTGAATTCTGGCGGTGAAGAGGAGCGTAGCCCTCGCTGGCTGGGTCAGTCGTGATGTGACAGTGATGCGATTCAAATGGATTTATTGCCAGCCGAGGCGAACATTTGTGATTTAATTTTTCTGAGTGGTTCTGTGTGCCTACTAGCTACGCCCATCCATCCATCCATCCATCCATCCGACTCTGGATTCCCGTAATCCGTTGAGAGCTACACGTTTAATGCAATTTTTTGTGTGCTCTTTTCGCTACAGGTCGCTACCATGTTATCCGAAAACTGGGCTGGGGCCACTTCTCCACCGTCTGGCTTTGCTGGGACCTGCAAGAGAAGAGCTATGTGGCCATTAAGATTGTGAAGTCCGCTCCGCACTTTGCCGAGACGGCCAAGGATGAGATCAAGCTACTAAGGACGGTGCGCGAGACGGATCCATCGAATCCGCGACGCCAGAAGACCGTCCAGATGCTGGATGACTTCAAGATCACCGGGGTCAACGGTACCCACATTTGCATGGTCTTCGAGGTGCTCGGCGACAATCTGCTGAAGCTAATCCGGAAGTCCAATTATCGCGGCATACCGCTGGGCAACGTTAAGACCATCACTCGCCAGGTGCTGGAGGGTCTCGACTATCTGCACACCTGCTGCAAGATCATCCACACGGACATCAAGCCGGAGAATGTGCTGCTGTGCGTCGATGAGCCACATGTCCGCTCGCTGGCCACCGAGGCCACCCAGCTGTACTGCATGAACTCGAAGATGTACCCCTCGCTGGTGAGTCGGGCGCCCAAGGAGTACCGCGAGCCCCCCATCACCGGCAAGATGAGCAAGAACCGCAAGAAGAAGCTCAAGAAGAAGGCCAAGAAGCGCATGGAACTGTTCAAAAAGCAGCGCGACTATCTGGAGCAGGCTGGCGGTCAGGCGCCTGATGCTGGTGAAGATCAGACGGACTTTGGAGTCAATCATAATGCGGTGCAGAACGGCGATGTTGGCATCTCTGATGGGGATGAATATTTTGAAGCTAAGCAGGAACCGGAGGAGAATGAAGATGATGAAGAGGACGAGGACGTGGACGTGGCTGCTGAGCAGCCAAAGGTTAAGGTGAAATCAAAGCCCAAGGAGCAGCAACATCAGCAGGAGCAGCCGCCGGCGGAGGGCTCGGAGAAAGCTAAAAAGAAGAGGAAAAGGAAGAATAAGAGTAAGTAAAAATATTTTAAGGCATTTGAGTCTTATTTTAGTACATATAAGCTGGAAAAGAGTATAGTAAATATTAGATTTATTGTGCATAGTTCAGATAAACAAGCATTAATTGCCTTTCAACATTAATAATAGTACATTTAAGTACATTTATTCTTTATTTATTAATTTGTATGTCTTTCTGTTTCTTTTAGACAAATCCAATCAGCCGCAAGGTCAGCAGCAGCAGCAGCAGCAGCCGCCACTGGAGAACTCCATCAGCAGCGGCGACAGCAGCAGTGCTTTGAAGAGCCACCAGACCAATGGTAGCAGTAGCATCAATAGCAACAGTAACTCCAATAGCCACAGCAACTCGAGCAACACCATGAAGGGACAATCAAATGGCAAGAAGATGCCGCTGCGACCCAAGCAGGAGAAACAACAGCAGCAACCATCGAATCAGCAGTTAAACAACAACAACACCAGTTCGAAGCCCAACTCGAACAGTAATTCGAAAATCTCAAGCGGATCCGTGGCGAACTCATCGTCCTCCAATGGGCCGTACTCGGAACCCCTGTTGCCACCGCCTCCTCCGCCACCACAAGTCAAGCATAGGCCAAGACGTGATCCAGCGCTGGAGGAGTGCAGCGTTTACGTCAAGATTGCCGATCTTGGCAATGCCTGCTGGGTGGACCGACACTTCACCGAAGACATTCAGACGCGACAATACCGCTCGCTGGAGGTGATCCTGGGCTCTGGCTACGACACCTCGGCGGACATCTGGAGTACCGCCTGCATGGTGTTTGAGCTGGCCACCGGCGACTATCTGTTCGAGCCGCATTCGGGCGAGACCTACTCCCGCGACGAGGACCATTTGGCTCACATCATCGAGCTACTTGGACCCATACCGCGACACATTGTGTTCCGCGGCACTTACGCCCAGCAGTCCTTCAATCGAGGCGGCGAGCTGCGAAATATCAACGGCCTGAAGCCCTGGGGCCTGATGGACGTGCTGCTGGAGAAGTACGAGTGGTCGCACAGCGAGGCGGAGTCCTTTGCCTCGTTCCTCAAGCCCATGCTGGAGTTCGATCCGGCCAAGCGAGCCACCGCTGCCGAGTGTCTGCAGCATCCGTGGCTTAGATAAGATACGATGCAGCCTGGTTGTTGGCTGCACGCCACCCAGCCAGCAACATCCAGAGTTGGAGCCGGAGAAGAGGCAGCAACAGCTGGGGGCTACATGGAGTCATCCGCCTCGGTGGCCACTCTTGCCTCCATTTCATCCATTGCTTCCACCTCGGCGGCGGCCAGGGCGGCGCTGAAGGCACGTCCGTATATGGTGCCACCCTTCGTGGCCACCGCATCCGCCCCACCCACTCCACAGCCCCATACAACCTCTGATCCCCCTCAAGCACGGCACGGACAGCGCCTGCAACTCCCACACGGCGTCGCCTTGCCCCGAAGAGGATCCGGACTTGGTTGAGGATTTCGATGTGGCTCTTGCGCAGCTGGAAGAGCCCCAGCCGCCGTCTAATGCGAAGGCCAAGTCGCAGCGCTTCTTCTGGCGGAAGGCGATACGTCGCGTTTTCCAGCGCCGAAAGTGACATCTGCTGCGGCGTCGCCGGCAGGATCTACCACGATGGCATCGCCCCGCGCGCCGTTGTCGGCGCCGAACCCTGGCCGAGCGAGTGAGGCGTGTTTGCGCCTGCTGCGCCTACGGCCAGATCCTGCTCCGAGCGGCCCGCGTGGCCCTGCTCAGCTGCATCCGTTGGCGGACCCGTGGCCACATACGCAACAACAACTTTTACTTTAGCAATCACTAAAGCGGCAGAAGGAGAAGCATCCAACAAGCATCATGCAACCAGCAACCAGCCATCGCATAATCTCCATGCTCCATGCTCCTGCTCCGGCTCCAGCTCCAGCTACATGAGTTACTTTTAATGTCAATAAGACCATTCGATTTAGTTTTACATACGCCAGCACTTAATTTATTTCCTGTGTTTGACATCGACAATTAGACGTATTTTCTTTGATACAATATGAAATTATACCATGTACGACCACGTCCCCACGAATCCTGTATATAGGGTCGACTGTGCTCGATCCCCATTCAGTTTAAATCGAAATCGATGCAAGGCACGCGGCACGCGGCACACAGAGAAGGCGAGAGTAAAAGCCCCATATATATATACGTATATCTGTTATTGTACATTTAGCCAAGAGGCGAATCATCGGCATATATATACATTTGTAGCGTACATATAGTTAAATGAACTGGAGTCGACCCATCGATCGGTGTCTCCCTTGCGACCGACGATGGTTTTTTATTAGCATATATGTAAAATGTACATGGAGGCAGAAAACTTGAGCTGAACATAACAATAATGAGAATGTAGTTAATTAGAGTATCCTCGGCTTAGTGATCGACATTAGTATCCATGAAACCGTAGCCTCAAACATAGAAAAGCAAGAGCCACGCACTACCAGAAGCAAACCACAAGTGAAACCAATCCTTAAACCTTAATCGGAACTAATAATTATTAACTAACAAACGAGTATTGTTCAACATTAAATACTAGCGCAAGCCTCAAATAATTACAGAAATATTGGATAGAAGAATGAATATTTAACACGAAATTTGGCACAACAAAAAAACACAAAAATTTATGGAATTTCTCTCTCACCCAACACAACCACACACACCCACTTGACACTTGAAATAATACCTAAAGGCCACTTTAGTTAAGGCTAGCAGTTAGAGCGATTTTTTCAAGAGAGGAGCGATAGTGTGAAAGCCACTTGAAGGAAAATGGATTTATCAGAAATGTTAGAAGGAGGAGGCAAGGGCACAGGGGCATTACTGACTATTTACTGTATACAAATGGGTACATACACAAATATATATGGATAAGTGGCCTTATTAATTCGGTTCTATGCACCACACACCACACACCAAGCACCACACCCACACAACACACAGATGCTAACCGATTCCCAGCCAATTGCAGCACGCAAAAACTAAGAAATATGTACGAGAAATTAGGTATGGAATATATTATTGTAACTCGAGCAGAGATTATTATTAACAGCAGCCTAGCCAGCAGCAGATATATCAATCTAAAATGCAAACAACAAGTGTCCAAGTGTTGAGATGGAGAATACAATGAGAGGCGGTTCTTAGTAGTAGCAAGGATCCTGTAATAACAAAATGCATCACGCATCCTTGTCCCATATGAATGGGTATGGCGTTACGCATTTTGTTAGTACAACGCCTTTGGTAGTAGCCTATAGCCCACAATCGATCTTCGATGTTGTCATCAAGTTAATCAAGAAAATCAACAAAATCTTCGGCTGGCCGATGTCACGAAAATACTTATGCATATACTCTTTGAAAATCTGATCCCTGACTTCCAATCGAGAAGCTATATATATATACTTGACATGATATATATACCCGAGATGAACAGATTTCCGAGTGAATTAGAGCCCAGAATCAGGAACCCAGCTGCCGAATTGCAATTCCACTATGTTCTCACGCTTTCAAAGAGTATAATTATGAATTATACGATACGATACATAATTTATTGATGTAGTTATAAACAAAATAAACAACAAATTACACAAATTGGAAAACAATCGACGCTGTCTCTTTTATTCACTATATTTATGGGGAACCACCAGCAGAACAGAAATCTATCTTTTGGCCATAAATAACCACAGCTTACAAGGACATCAGCAAAGGATTGAGATAGATACGACAACGATGCTGGCAATTTATGGTCACATAAAAATCACAAAGGCATCGGAGCTACGTTTTCCCCACAAATGAATGGGATTTTACAGGGTAGAAGCTGCCCTTGCGACCTTTGGAAGGATGCCACATTAATTCCCTGTTATATCCTGGTTCCTGGAATTCATCACGTTTGTTTGTCAATGGCTCGAAATTGAATTTTATCTACCAAAAGCAGCTAGGAGCACACGTGCAGCCAAAAGTCCAGGGCCAGGGCCAGTGGCAGTGGCAGTCGTAAATGCTATGCACATATTTGTATCTTTGTATCTCGATGGCATGGACCAGGTACTTTTGCTCACCTGCACAGGTGGGCAGGCGTGCGACTATTTATTTCGACTGCCAAAAGGCCAAAAGGCGCCCAAGGCTGTGGACGAGGAGTAGTAGTCTCCATGGCATCCGGCGAAAGTTAAGTCCGTGCCCAGTGTTTGCCTTTGCCCAAAAGAATCCTCTCGAGCTCCCGGGAATCGATCCAAGACAAATTCGAGAAGCTCAACGCACACATTGGCACTGCTATTTGGTTTATTGTTGGCCAAAGTTTTTGGCTAAGTGAAAAGTGCTATCCGGCATAAGCAAGAGGGGGGGGGGTTAACAAAGTTCCAAACGGAGAAAAATGTGCTGCAATTTATCCGGCGGGTGGATAAATAAAAAGGCAAATTAATAGTGGAGCATTAAGCATTTCTTCTAAGGGAAAACATAAGGAAAACGATTTGGGTTTCAATCAACACATTTGTTGTTACATTTTTCCCTTACAATTAGAATCCTTCATTTTTAGTTAATTTAACTTTCAGAAACTTTACAGAAGAAACCTCCACAATAAGTGAAAATTAACCACTTAACATTCTTAATCCTTAATTTCTGCTGTCCTTCAAGGACGCCTGAGCTCTTCCCAAATGAATTATACATTCTCCTGTGCCACTTCCGAACTTGCAAATACTTTTTAAAGCTCTCACAGTTGAGTTAAACTCTTTGGGAATGGGCATTCAATTTCATTTACTTCTCAAGTTCGGCAACAAAACCAAAGTCCGCCTTCAATGTATGCTAACGAGACCCGCAGCCATGGTCCAGAACCAGGACCTTTCCCACGCCCATATCCATGGCCAGTAGCCCGCACCCGAATCTCTGGATTTGCTTATAAATGTCCAACAAATGACAAACTTGACAAAACAGGGACAAAACAGAGACAATACAGGGGACAATTCAGGGGATGGCCAAAAGTTTTTCGCATGGAAAGCTGGCAAAGGAAAACTCTTCAGACAACTCGGTCAGAAGTTTTGCGGAGCGTTAGAATAAACCCAAACAATTGTGTGTCTCTGTGTGTGTGTGTGTGTCCTTGATGATCGATATTTGTCACACACAAACACTGGCACCCAAAAAAGGAGCCGCTTTTTAAAAGGTCCTTTCCTTTTTGTGGATCCGACGAAGCGCAAACGATTATTCAATTTGCACTCGCCGTATCTGAGCTCTATGCGAAGCGTTTAGCGTCGTCGACCTCTGTTTCCCTTGGTCCTCCATTATCTCATCCTCATCCCCATCCTCATCCCCATCCTTATCCCCATCCTCATCCCCATCCTTATCCCCATCCTCATACTTACCGGATTCGTTGTGCACTTTCCAATGTCCTTGTTGAAAATGCCAGCGAGTGGCACACTGATGACATTAAGTAGCTGTCGGGTTGGTCAGGATTAGATAGCAAAAGTGCCTGATGTTAGTTTAAAGTAGATAAACAAAAGCGGATTCGTCCTGCCGTCGCTTAACCCCCGCCATCGGTTCACGCTCACAGCTTCGTCCTTTTCCGTCTGTCAAAAGCTGCCCATTGTAGTCCTTGCTTTCCCGACATTTGCGGCGGCAGCTCCGGTGTCTGTGTGCCTACAGAGGAAAGAAAAAATGTCATTATAATGGTGTTTATTACCTTTAATATATAATATTTGCAATAAATAATATATTTAAAAATTCGTATTTTATTATTATATGTTAATAAAAAGCATAATATTAATATTTTCACAATATGAGTTTTTTAAATATTGATTTGTAGTAAAATTGGCATATAAAAATATAGTTAATATCGACTAAAAAATGGTATTGCACCTTCAGTCAGAAGCTTAAAAGAAAGTGAAGGAGTCATTTCTGACCCTATAAATCATATATATTCTTGATCAGCATCGACAGGGGAACCTTTTCGGCAATGTCTGGGTGAATAAATTTTTTTTTTCAGAAGTTTCCCATTTTTGAATATAAGAATAAAAATTAAAAAATTATAAAATTTTCACTTTTCGGAAAAATGCCAAAAATTTATTTTTGACCGGACATGGCTAGAACGACTGGGCTGTTGATGCTGATCAAGAATATATATGGTTTATAGGGTCGGAAATGACTCCTTCACTGCGTTTCAAGCTTCTGACTTAAATTATATTCTTCAAAAAGGCATAAAAACACACCATTTAAAAAAAAAATCAACCATTTTCGGACATCATAATTTTGCCGAAACTGGACTCATTTTAATTCGGAAAGCTCTTCTGTGCTAGTTTTTATTGTATTAACAAATCTGCATACTGCGTTTGTTGATGCCGTTGTCAGTTTTTGACTAAAATCATAAAAACCGGCAAAAAGGTATAAAAACAGACAATTTTTCCCAAAAATCATTGTTTTAAAAAACTCATAACTAAGCCAAAAAATCATTAATTTTAATTCGGAAAGCTGTTCTATGCTAGTTTTTAGTTGATTAACAAAGCTGCATACTCAGTTTTCAAATTTAAAAAATTCAATTTATTGTCAAATTTTGGCAATTTTAATGATGTAACCCCTTATAAAATTTTCAATTTTCGGAAAAATGCCAAAAATTTATTTTTTGACCGGACATGGCTAGAACGACTGGGCTGTTGATGCTGATCAAGAATATATATGGTTTATAGGGTCGGAAATGACTCCTTCACTGCGTTTCAAGCTTCTGACTTAAATTATATTCTTCAAAAAGGCATAAAAACACACCATTTTAAAAAAAATCAACCATTTTCGGACATCATAATTTTGCCGAAACTGGATTCATTTTAATTCGGAAAGCTTTTCTGTGCTAGTTTGTATTGCACTAACAAATCTGCATACTGCGTTTGTTGATGCTGTTGTCAGTTTTTGACTAAAATCATAAAAACCGGCAAAAAGGTATAAAAGCAGACCATTTTCCCAAAAATCATTGTTTTAAAAAATCATAACTAAGCCAAAAAATCATT